AACTTCTACGTCTAACCACAAATTCAACCTAATTAAAGGACCATTTTAATTTCAAAATTTTTTAGTTCCTGCAATTGAAGATCCCAAAAAGAATAAAATTTACAAATTTAAAACAAGATGAATTTGGAAACATTCAAATTTGGTCCTCAACCTAAAACAATACAAATACAAATACAAATTGGAATTAACTTATCATTTGGTAGTGCCAATCATGGACTGGACCTCTCCAGTACATGAGATGATTTTAATTCTATACTATTCTTAGGAAAATATTTTTAACTTCCAAAAGTACTATTTACTTTTCTAAAATACTGTGTAATTTGGTTGCACTTTTCTAGTCTGAATTATTTCAATAAGTATAAAGTTTTCTTCTTTTTTTTTTTTTTTTTTTTTTTTATAAAAAAAAACACTATAAAGTTTACCTTTTATTATTAACTAAAAAAAGTAGTTTAAAAAAAAAAACACTACAAAGTTTACCTTTTATTATTAACTAAAAAAAGTAGTTAAAAAAAAAAATTATAAAGTTTACCTTTTATTATTAACTAAAAAAAGTAGTTTATATCATGTTTCTCATAACTTCTAAATTGCAAAAAAAAAATATATATATTAAAATCTCAGATAATTCCAAAAATCCCCATGTTCATCAAAGGAATAAGTATTGATAGAGGTAATTTTGTCAAAAAGTTAAAAACTTTTTAATGAAATTATGGAAGTACTTTTACTATATTTTTCTGAATGTTCGGTAATTTTTTTCATTATATAATTTTTTTTTTTTTCTTTTTTTTTGGTTTGGTAATGGTTAGTAGTTATTTGAGAGTGGAAGGAATCGAACATAGAATCAATAAGGTGGAGACACTTTAGACCTGACCCTTTTTATCACTCGCATAATATCGCCACACCTTTTCTACCTTTTACATAAATACAAATGTGAGAGAGTTTTGTTAAAACAGTTACTTCCATAAATACTTGGATATCATTCAACCTCTCAAATTCTATCACATGACAAAAAGAGTTAAAAACACTATATAGAAATTTAATTATAGTCATGAGGTCCAAAATAAAAGAAATCATGTAAGAAAATTACAAAATTGAGTGCTTTTTGTAATTGTGTGTTTATCATGTAACATTGACTTGTGAATGGAATATTTTTCCAGAATTTTTTTTTAATTAGTATTCACACATACTTGTCTCTTTTGAGACTTGAACTTTTGACTTTCCTTTAAAAAATAAAGAGCTGATACCGCTAAATTACTGACCTATTGGTCATTTTTTCAGAACTTTTCACGTAAGAAAGCTTGGTCGTGTAGCTTATGATTACATAAGGGTTATGGATGCCATTGTAGTTGAGTGTGTGGTGGTGTGTGTAAACAAAGTAGTAGAAGTGATAACTTTGGAAGTGACACTGCGCCGGATGAAAAAGACTGACTTTAACATAACGATAAGATTAATCTTTTGTAGTGTATATTTAACCTTTTAAAATCACGTGTATTTGATTTTATTCAAAAATTATAATAGCGGGAGTACTGTGCACTGTGCATACGCAAGCCTTTTTAACATTGCACCTTGTGATGAGGCTAATGACAATGGTGCAGCTGAGATTTACAATGGTTGATATATGGTGGAAGGCATTGTCCATGTATCATCACAACAACATAGTGATGTATGGTAATAACCACACATATTGTGATGGTGGATGTGGAAAACTATGGCCACTGTGTGATTGATGTGGTGACAAGTATGCGTGGATGTTGCAACGGACATTGTGAAATAAAGTGGCTTCACACATAAGAAAGGAAGATAATATTAAACTAAAATCAATCTTTTTGCAAACAAAAAAATTCAAATTTAAACCCTAAAAAATTCCTTTTCGACCCAACATATATATAAGATCAAATCAATCTAAAAAATTATAAAAAGGAAGATAATATTAGGAAAAAAAATGTTTAGCTGTGTTATTCTTGTTCGCTTGATACAAAATTCTAAATCAAATTTTATAATTAAGAGAAAAGAGAGAACTCACTTTTGTTTTATTTGAAAAATGATGAATTGGGAGAATTTTAAAATTAAATTTAAAAATTTCAAAAAGCACACCTACTCATTAATAAATCTTTACATGATGTGAGGCTCAATAATTAATTAAATAATATAAATATACCATGTATAAAGATTTTATACAGAGAATATGTATATAAGTCAAAATTGATAAATCAGATTTTAATCCACTTGTCAAATCAGCACTTTTACCCTCACTGGACCAATTCCAGTGAGAGGCGCATCGGAGAGGATTCCTTTTCTTGGGAGAGGGTGTATCAATTACAGAGGTGAGGCCTAAAAGCTGCTCTGATTATAGCCTTTCTCGAATACCGATGAGGCAATATATTACACCCACGATAGTTCAACAACTTGCGGAGTAAATAATACAGCAGCACAGAAAATGAGTGGTACTAGGCTACTAGCTTCATAATGACTTCGTCTAATCATATGTGTTGAATATTCAAAAAAATGATGACCAATTATATAATTTATATTACGAGGGACCGGATAAAATCTTAACAAGAGTGATATTTATATCGAATTATTTAACAAAAATAATATTTTGTTATTCTTCATGTTAAAAATGTAAAGGGTTTATTACAACATGGAGATTTGTTATATTAACAGGCATATATAAATTTGTCATTTTTTGGACACTCACACGTCCTGTTAGAATTTTAAGCTAAACAAACCCTTAAAAGTTGTGAAAATACAAGATTGCTCTTCAATAAAATATCAATTATTAATCTAAAATATCAAAAAAAAAAAAAAAACCTTAAATGACAGAATTACCCTTTTAAAATAATAGGTTTCTCTCTCTACCCTCACCCTGAAAAAAACCCAAAAAATTTTGCTCTTCACTAATCCTCATCTTCTGCGTAGTCTGACCAATCTTGTCTATGCACACACCCCAATCCATCTTCGTCAAGCTCTTCACCAATCCTCACGAGTTCTACATCAAATGTAAAGTGGTGGTGGCGAGTGTGGCAGGGCTGTGGAGTGGTGGCGGGGCTGTGACGTGGTGGTGGCGAGCTGTGGAGTAGTGGTGGCGGCGGGTGTGGCAGGGTTGTGGAGTGGTGGCGGGGCTGTGGAGTGGTGGCGGGGCTGTGATGTGGTGGTGGTGAGGCTGTAATGTGGTGGTCGTGGGTGTGGGTGTGGGTGTGGGTGTGGCGGGGCTGTGAAGATGAGAGGGAAGAGAGAGAGGTGTTGGTGGAGGTGGTGGTATGGTGATGGTGGCTATGGTGGTGTGCCGCCAGTGGAGGTGGCAACCACTCTCTTCTTCTCCGATTCTCTCTCTCTCTCTCTCTCTATATATATATATATATAGATATATAAGAGGAGATGCTCTCACTCCCAAAACAGAAACTGAAGACTATCACACGCCGGGTACCAAATCTCAAACTGGAAGGGAAGATGAACGCCACTGACTTTGGCGCTTCAGTGGTATCCTTGATGCAGAATTGTTGTTTTTCGACTTACGGGACTTTCGGCCTCCCTGTCGCTTCCGATCTCAATCTTTTTTCCGATTGCCGTTCTTAGTCGGAAATTTGGTAAAGCCCTTATTTGGAGTTGTTATATCGCCACCATCATCGAAATAGAGGACGAACCCCACGTTTCAACCTCGGTACTTAGATCTTCCTGGATGTAGTGTATGTATATATATATATATATATACACATATATATATTCGGTGCACGTATACTGTTATAGTGATGAATGGTAAGTTTGGTTAATTAAAATTAGTTAGAAGGTTAAATTTGTAATTTCAAAATCTCAATGATTTAATTGACAAGTCCAAGGGTAAATTGGTCATTTTTTTAATGTGTCAGTCTATAGTTGGTGTTAAGGGGTGTTTTGTCAATTTTATCAAATTTCAGAGGTCTCATTGTTCAAAAAAGAACTAATTTATATATGTTTGTCAATACGATAAACCTCCAAGGGTATCGCTATAATTAATCCAAATATAAATAAGTAAAAATTTTTTATTTTGTATTTATTATATAAATGATCAATTAAAAATAATAAATCTAACCATTCACTATAAATATTTATAAACATTCACTGCAAGAATCATTTTTTAAAATTTAATTAAGTAACTTATAATGATGACATATTATTACAAATTTATCAAATATTGATAAACTAAAATAAAGTTGTGACGTGATATAATTATTTGATAATATAAATAACGAAGTACTAAATGTGTAATAAAGTTGTTCCAATGCATAGCAGTGTTGATAGAAATTCAGGAGGTTAATCTTCGAGATCTTGCATTTCTAAATTAAATAATGCGTGTGTTATGAGACCGATATACATAAATTAAGAGGAAAAAAATGTGTAAGATAGTTTTTGAAGTCTTAAATTATTAAGTTGTGTTGTATAACTAAAAACTTAAATAATATATTTTTTTTTTAATATTTGAATTTGACTTGGGACGAGAACTCTTTTACACTTATTTACTAGCTTTGTTGAACGAAATCACTATTTAGCAAAGCCAATGAATGAAAAAGTAAATTTAGGGCATTTATATAACTGACAAATTAATATTTTCTATCATAAAAAAAAACAATAAGTGGGGTAAATTGCAAATAATTCTCCTTCGCTATTCATTTTTTGGAACTTAACCCCGTCCCTGTACTAATGTTTTTTTAGAGCTACCTCATTGTATGTATAAGTTGTGTTATCACCGAGTTGTGTTACAAAGTTAAGCAGATTTGTCAGATAATGAGGATTTTACAGATTTGTCAGATCCATTGGTATAGAGGGTAAAAAAAAGAAAGAAAAAAAAAAACAGAAGGGATTGGTTATCTGCAAATGCTGACACTTATATATATATATATATATATTGATTTTGTACCCATAGGGGGTTAATTGCCAAAAAAATGAACAGTACAGGGGCTATCTGTAATTAACCATAATCGGTACTGATTGGTCTGGGTAGGTTCGGTCCTAATTGGTCAGGGGAGATAGGTTATGATAATGCAGCAGCGATTGTTTGTATACCTTTCTCTCTCTCTCTCAAATTTTCACGCATCAACTTTCTCACCCTTCAACTTCCTTGTATATATATATATATATACACGCAACTTTTATCTGCTCCAAATCTCTACCGAAGATTCTGTTTTTCATCCATTATCAACAAAATATCAAAACTCTCCGTCATATTTTCCACAACTTTCTCGCCAACCAAACAGGGACGGACGTTCCAGTAAAGAATATTCTATTTCAAAAGCTTTCTGGTATGATTCTTTCAACTATTTTGCTTCCAGATATTTCTTCTTTAATTTTTCAGAATCTGTCCCATTTATAGTGCAATTTTCTAATTCTAGCTCTTCTGTGTTATATATATATATAGTGAGTGTGTGTGTGTAATGGCGAAAAACGGAGCGAAATGGAGGGTTTCGGGAAGTATATCAATAATTTTATGGAGCTTTGCGTTGGCTTCAATGTGTGTTTGGGCCGAAAGAAGCTTGAAAATGGAAGGATCATCAAGCTATATTGAAATCAGAAAATCGGATTCGGATGATTACTTTGTGAAGTTTGTTAATTTCTTTTGGCAATCAATTCGATCGGGTTACCAACATATTTGGCCGGTAAGTCAAATTTATGATTGATAATTTGCATTACTGTTGTTGCTGATGTGTTTTCTTGTCCTACACTGACCTTTTAATTTCTTCTCAGTAAAAAGCCATTCGTATCAATTATTGATTGATATAAGTCCAAACCACTCTGTACCATTATTGTTGTTGATAATAAATAATACCATATAATAGGTATGACTATCTTAATATCGTTGGACCGCCATTAATACAAACAAGACAAAAACTTTATTTTAATCTAGAGTTAATTGCATAAAAGCTCCTGAACTAATTTTTTTTTTGCACATTATCTATCTATACTATTTTTTAAAAAAAAAAAAAAAATTATTTTTAACAAGTAATCACCTGAAAAGTAAAAATATTTTTGCATGACACCCCTTCATGTTACCAATTTTAATAGTAGGACTTCTTCATAATACTAATTTACCCTTTTGGATTCATCGCATAAAACCCCTTTGAATTATAAGAAATTTACATTACAGGGATAGTATGCAAATTTCTTATTATTCAGGGGGTTTTAAGGCAGTTAAATGGTAAGGGCAATGTACTAGTTATTATTTTCCAGACCATTGGCGTTATTGGCAAACTTTCAATAGCTAAGGGGTTAATTTTATTTGAGGGGTAAATTGTGAATTTTATATTTTCATATTTTCAGGATGGTTTTTTAGCAATTTATCATATATTCTATTTTATTTTACTTTTCTGACAAAACAGAGGTAAAGAGCCAATGAAACAAAGGAAAAAACAAGCACGGCTGTAGTGGGGACACACGCACACGTGACACGAAGACTACTCCCATCCCACTCCACAGGCTTTTTTATTTTTATATTACTCCACAGGCTTCTTGACTAGTCTAGGGAGAGACAAAGACTTGTAAGAACCCAAAAACTAAGCCTTGATTTGCAATTTTAAAAACAGTTTTTTGTTTTTTTGAGCACTGAAAATAAAAAACTGTACAAAAATTGAGGAATCGAACCTTAAACTTGCACCGGAGCCACGTTTTTACCCATATGAGCCAACGCCTTGATGTTGATGTAGGCGCTTAGATTTACTAGGAGAATAGGGTATCTTTGAGGAAATTTAATCCTTGAGCATCATTCTAGTATCTTACCGAAAGACTACAAAGACCCAACTGTGAAATTTGGAATCCTCTGACTGAAGCATGGACAGTCATCTGGACATCTCCCTCAAAAGACACATGTCTGATCTAACTCCCTAGTGCATATGAATCTTCCACCTGAGCCCATAACTGAAAACTGATATCAATTAATTTAACCAAATTTTTTTTGGCAATTTAGCCTCCTTAATGGCATAATCTTGACACCTCCCTCTGGAGGAGGACTCCATATATTAAGGGGAATTAGAATTAGAGATTCAGAGCCAAGCATATTAGGTCCATGAGGTATCTTCTTGTAGGATAGCATCAGGGTTGATGTTGACACTTTTCAAAAATCCCTTGATCATGCCTTGCCCATATTTAATCTATTAGAGCAGCTGGAAAGTTGGATGTTCACAAATTTGGACTACCAAATTGGAGAGGAGACAGAACATACATTATCCTGCAGGTGAAAAAAGGTGATCAACCTGAGTCTGATTCCCCTAAATTACAGAACCACTGCAATTTTGTACGATTGCATATAAAGAACATGTGAGTAGCTTTTTTCTGGAACTATCCACAGAAAGGACACTTTCCTCATTCAACAGGAGTCCTCTCTGCTAGATATTGTTGGAGAGGAAGGCAACCAGAGGAATCCTCCACAATAGAACCTTATTCTTTCAATGCAGCTTGGTTTTCCAAAGGGTCTTTTTTAAAGCTGAGAGCTAACATTGAATAGGAGACTTAAAATTCAATCTCATTCGATCTGGACATTAGATATAGTAATATGATCTGTAGTGTTCTGATCAAAGAGATTTTAGATCAACTCTTCTTTCCAGTGGCTCTATTGGTCCATTAACTGCTCAATTTTTCTGGAGACTTAAAATTTCACTGAAAAAAGAATTAAGGACCAGTCCATTTCGACAGATTTCTATTCCAATAATGAAATAATCCCTTTTGTCATGCTACCTCTGATGGAAAGAATAACCTTTCAAATAATAATATCTGAAGCACGGATCTGCATTCATAAAGGCTTGTGTGCTATATTACTTTTGATGATCCTCACCATTAATCAATTGCCACCCTATGTAGCAACCAGAGCTTTTTTCTGAATACCAAACCTCCTACCACTTTGGGGATACAAATTGAATCCCAATGCCTTTAGAATTGAGCCCCACCAGAGTCTTCACTTTAAATCCAGCTTGTTGCACAAGTATCTTGGAACTAATAATGAAGACATGCCATGAACTGGTAACTCTAAGGCAGTGTATTTGATGAGGATAATTCTTCCTTCAGAAGATAAGAGCGTAGTTTCCAATCCTAGAGCTTGGAATCCAACTTCTTAATGATGCTTTTTTTTTTTTCCCATGATAATAGAGAGGCCTAGTGTCACGGGCCTAGAGATTTGGCGCAGCGGCACGGCCCGTGCGGCACCAAGGCGTTGCTCCAGCTCGCGCAAGCGCCCTGGTCAGCCACCACGACCTGCCCTTCCAAGGATACATGCTGACTGGTTTCGGCCTGCCATGGCTTCGTCAGGGGAACGGCTCCAGCTCCCGACCAGTTTGTGCAGGGATGGCCAACTCCCTTCTTCATAGTCAAGTCCACGACTAGCGACAAGCACCTCGAACTGAACCGAGTCGACCTGCCTGAACTCTGAAGAGGTACCATCCTGTAGTCCTGCACGCCCCTTCCCTGGAACCATTCCCAGTCAATGAATGTTCTTAGCCAACCAGCATGCGTGTCTTCTATGCTCATGGCGTCGTTAGGAATCGGATCGTGACATTCTCCCCCACCCAAATCCTGCGACGCCCTCGTCGCAGTGCGGCGCTGACTCCACTGCGTCCAACATTCCAAAGTCTCTCTCCTCCAAGTGGTATGCTCGCCTGCCCACCATCGCTTCCTTGTACAACCCCTGGCTGCACTCGCCCAATGATAGGGTTTCGGGCTAAAGGGACGCCCACTTCTTCGGGATGCAACCCCACGTTATGCCGCCTTTGCGACACCCCGAGCAAACAAGCGCCCTCCGGCTAACTTGATACCAGCCCTTCACAACGGTTTGCACGCCTTTTGAACTTGCAAGAACTTTGGTGCGCGCGGCCCTTCGGCCATCCGATGCGCGCGGCCCTCCGGCTTCAAAGGACGCGTCTTCATGGGGAGATGGAGGCTCTCCTCCAACAGCATTGATTGCCCACCGACGCTTTAGTGCACCCACTTCATTCTCAAGACCCCCGGATCAACAAGGGGGCACACCTCTGTGCTTTTCCCTAAGTCCTGCTCTGATACCATTTGTCACGGGCCTAGAGATTTGGCGTAGCGGCACGGCCCGTGCGGCACCAAGGCGTTGCTTCAGCTCGCGCAAGCGCCCTGGTCAGCCACCACGACCTGCCCTTCCAAGGATACATGCTGACTGGTTTCGGCCTGCCATGGCCTCGTCAGGGGAACGGCTCCAGCTCCCGACCAGTTTGTGCAGGGATGGCCAACTCCCTTCTTCATAGTCAAGTCCACGACTAGCGACAAGCACCTCGAACTGAACCGAGTCGACCTGCCTGAACTCTGAAGAGGTACCATCCTGTGGTCCTGCACGCCCCTTCCCTGGAACCATTCCCAGTCAATGAATGTTCTTAGCTAACCAGCATGCGTGTCTTCTATGCTCATGGCGTCGTTAGGAATCGGATCGTGACACTAGGCTAGGTATAAATCATCTTTCTTTCCCTGATATCACCTATTTGACCTCTCTGATGGCATCCTTTGTAGCATTGCTCCTGCAGAAAATTGCTGATTTATCTTTGTTTACCTTCTGTCTAGACCAGGCTTTGATACAGCTTCAGCTTCTTCATGGAAAGGTTTACGGAAACCAACAAATCATCTAAAAATATCAGATGAGAAATATCTTGACACTACCCAGCTATCTCAATCCCATGGGAAGAACCTTGCATCTCTTATCTAGAAATCGATCTGGATAACACCTGTGAGCAAAATAGAAAGGAATTGTGAAATGGACCATCCTGCTGGATACTTATCTGAAACCGAAACTTGTCCACAGGGCCACCATTTAAGACAGATAAGGAAGCTGCTGATATGCATTGGAAAAATCAGTGGCAGCAGAATTGATCAGGAAATCCAAAAAGTAGTGCTATCTAAAATCTTTCTGTTAGGATTAAATGTGCCTGGGTTATAAACTTCTTAAATAGGGGTCCAGTTTTGTTGTCAAGAACATTAGAATATGACCTTGTAGGCTACATTACACAAGTAGAATCTGTGGTAAAAGGCCATACTAACTTTCGGGGACTTGGGAATTAGTATAGCGACCAATAATTAAACCCTGAAGCATAGAAATTAAATCCTTGACAACTGCATGACAATATGATTATTAAATATAGTAGACATACTATGAAGCCCTGACACTTTTAGTGGAGGCATAGAGAAGATAACTGTTTTGATTTTCTCATATATAGATGGGCATACCATATAGTAATTGGTTACTTTAACTGTGGTCTTACTTCATGCATTTATGTATTAATGCATATATATGTACACACACGTAGACATTTTAATTGCATACTTTAACTGTGGTCTTACTTCATGCATTTATGTATTAATGCATATATATGTACACACACGTAGACATTTTAATTGCATATATGTGTATAATCTACCAGCAGATATGTAGAGGTATATAATAAATGTACGAGAAAGGATGAGTTTATGTAGCTGAATTCAAGTATGTCGGATAAGACACCTTTGTGTTTATTTAAGCTTACAGAATACATATATGCATATATACTCGTGTACATGCTTTTGTACTTGGGAGTATTTCAAAGTTTTGTTGGTTGAACTTGTTGTATTTATGTCATAGACATTTAATGGGATGTCTATTGTGTTCATCTTCTTTTTTTAGATTAGACATATAATTTCCAAACTCTGGAATTGATGGAAATTTAATTGTGCTCAATTGCGGGATTTTGGTTTACAGGAAATGAAATTTGGGTGGCGATTTGTTGTGGGTACCATATTTGGATTCTTTGGAGCGGCATTTGGGAGTATAGGTGGTGTTGGTGGTGGTGGAATTTTTGTTCCTATGCTTGACCTAATTGTTGGGTTTGATCCGAAATCATCGACTGCTATATCAAAATGTAAGAGAAAAAAATCCAAGCAAGTGTTCCCAAATTATTTTTTTTTATAGTTTTTAACCAACTTGAAAGGACGGACCTGTTCACATTGACTTATAAAAATGGGGCGAAGATAAAGAGAAATTATAAATGTAATGTAACTTCTTTTCTCATTCTGAAAATAGAATGAAATGAATGAATTGACTAAGGACTCATGTTCTGGACTCATTATGACAGTAGAAGAAAGGACTGTTCATGAAATTTTCGGATATAGAGCACGGAATAATGAAATTCCTTGACTGCAGAAAACTGATAAACTACCCTGATATGGCACCAACTTCTTTTGGACTGAATGAGTTGTCATGGCATTATAGAGAAATTTAAATGACTTTGAACTGTGGAAGGTAGTTGAGAGTTTCAGTTTCAAAACCATGCAATTTTCCTGCATTAAGCTTTGTGAAATTCTTACCCATTTGAAATCAATTCACATAAATGAAGAAAAAAAAATTGTTATTTCTTTTAAAAATTAATATTCTGCATTATGTTAGTCCCCTCTGGTGTAGTTGTAGTATTCATAGATTCTGTTTGTTTTTGGTCAGGTATGATCATGGGTGCAGCCGGCTCCACTGTTTACTACAATCTTAAGCAACGGCACCCTACGCTTGATATTCCAGTCATTGACTATGACTTGGCATTACTTGTCCAACCAATGCTCATGCTGGGGATTAGCATTGGAGTTGCTTTTAATGTTATTTTTGCAGACTGGATGATCACAATTCTGCTAATTGTTCTCTTTACTGGTAGTGGTTGATTGTATTTCAATCATTCTTGATATGCTTTCTGCGCCAATAAGACTTGACCTTTTAATTGTGATTTGCAGCCACATCAACTAAGGCCTTCTTCAAGGGTGTTGAAACGTGGAAAAAGGAAACCATAATAAAAAAGGTTATCACAAGTTTCATGCACTTTAAGTGTTAAGGCATCGGAAGCATAATAGAAATGAAATTATCAATGTTGTTTGAAATAATATCTGAAATTATTTTCATTGCTGATTTCTTATATATGACATTATATTTTGTTATTCATTACTGTTTGTATGTTTACTTAAATTTATTAAAGAAAGAATGGAGCAAAAGGGGGTTGCATTTATGTTATTATCTATGTTCTCATGTAATATATGTTTCTATGACCAAATCTTAATTTTTCCATTCTGAATACCAAATCTTTCCTTTTTCAGGAGGCTGCAAAGCGTTTGGAAGGTGATGGTGATTTAATATGCTGTTCACTCTATAATGATAACACTATAAGGGACAACTTGCTCATAATTTTTTTCTCTGCAATGATTACATATATACATAATATTCTGTAGGTAATGATGGAGAAAAAGCAGAATACAAGCTTCTTCCTGGTGGCCCGAGCAATGGCGATCAAAAGGAGACCAAGGCTTCTGCCGAACCAGAGGTGAGCCTGCTCTCAGAAGCTGATTTCAATTTCCATTTCAAATCTGATACATATAACCATTCAGGTCACTCTACTTGAGAATGTTAGCTGGAAAGAACTTGGGCTTCTCGTTTTTGTTTGGCTTTCATTCCTTGTACTGCAGATTGCCAAGGTCTTCTTCTTCTTCTTCTCTCCTCCTCCTCCTCCTCCTCCTCCCTACAGTTATTAATTTATGGACTCACTGTTTATATATTTGCTTGTTGGAAACAGACTTATACTGCTACTTGTTCAACAGCATATTGGGTATTGAACCTGTTGCAGGTACCTTTTACTGCTATGATAAATATATATAGAGAGAGAGATCATTTAATTTCCTAATTTATATGCACATAAACTATAGAACTGAGCCCCATGGTGGAGACTTGATTTCGGAACACTGTCAAAATGATTATTGAGCTTGACCAATTTTTAAATGGTTTTTCAAGCATCTGTATGAAACTTATTTTTTCAATGTCCTGCAGATCCCAGTTTCCGTTGGAGTATCTTCGTATGAGGCAATCAACCTGTATAAGGGACGGAGAATAATTAAATCGAGAGGAAATGTAGACACTAACTTGCAAGTGCGCCAGCTGATTGTCTACTGCTCCTGTGGTGTACTGGCTGGTGTAGTTGGAGGACTGCTTGGTGTAGGTGGAGGATCTATTTTGGGTCCACTATTTTTGGAGCTGGGAATCCCTCCTCAGGTGAGTGTGTCCTTTTCAATAGGATACAACAAAAGTCGGAAAAATAATAGAAAAAAAAATAAAGGTTGTAAATTTGTATGTTAACATTCATGTTGGCTATCATCATAGCACTAAGAAACAGGTTAGACATCTATTTGCCCCCCTCACTCAATATCCGGGTCCGTCCCTGGTTACCCCCACGGGGTTAGCTTATTTGGCATAAGGCCTCTGGACATAACTCATAGTGCACACTGATACAAAGTTTCCAACGTGTAGAGATCAAAAATTCCAAATCTAGATGTTGAAATCTTAAAGAAAAGCAAAATAACCATGATATTTAGATGGTTTCTTTTTTCTTTTTCTTTTTTTCAGTAGGTTATTTAGATGGTTTCTTGTTTTACATTAACATTGAAAACATTTGCTACCTAGAATGGTCTTAAACTTTTTGAAAACTCATGGCAGGTTTCAAGTGCTACAGCCTCATTTGCAATGATATTTTCCTCGTCGATGTCTGTTGTAGAATATTACCTTCTGAAACGATTTCCAGTTCCGTATGGTAAGTTAGTAAACCAATGCTGAGATAATTTCAATAGATGAATCCTTTTATTCCCTAACAAATAAAATTGTGAGTCCATTTGCATCTGAACATAATAAGGATTGAAGTTCATCTATTTTTTTTTTGGGTAAGTAATTCATTTAAAATTTTAATGCACCAACTACATTTGCATGTTTTTTGCAGCTCTCTACTTCATTCTCGTATCAATTATTTCTGCCTACATTGGGCAGCATGTCATAAGTAAACTGATCATTATATTGGGAAGGGCATCTCTGATCATCTTTGTTCTGGCTGGCATTATCTTCATTAGTGCATTCTCACTAGGTGAGCATTGATTTTCCCAATTGGTTGGACAGGTGAAATGCATTCTTTGTAGACCCTAGACTTGTCGAACTGAATGGGTCTACAATGTTTTATTTTATTTTATTTTATTTTTTATTTTTTTATTTTTAAGGAACGTACTCTAAATCGATCTCTAAAACGATTTCACTTTTGTTTTACAGGTGGGGTTGGCATAGTGAACATGATTGTGAAGATTCAGCAAAATGAATACATGGGTTTTGAGAACATATGCAAGTTTGATAATTAGTATTATTAATTGTTGATGATGAATGACAATAATTGATTCTATTGTATGCCATGACGTACTAGTATTGTTTTTCTGTATGAAATTTATGTGCTGCTGGGTTTCTCAGAGCAGATGCAGAATAAAAGCAGTAAAAAGAGTATTTTCTGGCTTGTATTGTATTAACTTCTTTGTTTGTGTTCTAAAGCATAGACCGGCACTTTCAAAGAACACAAGTGCTTTACATTTTTTCCTTATTTTTGCTTCTAATATTCTGTGGAAATATATATTTTTTGTATATTTTTTTTTAGACAGAGTGATGGATTCTTCCATCAGAGAGAAGAAAAATGGTCTAGTATTCATATTTATTGTGTGTAGTTTCAGTTTTGCATAAACCTAGCTTTGAAGGTAAAGGAGTCTGTTCATGTTATAACAGCAGCATAAGGGCTTTTTTCCAACTATTTGGAGTCGGTTGTATAAATTTGTTGTTTCATTCGCTCTAAGACTATAACTTCAGTTATATCACATGTCATCATATCTTTCCTTACCAACTCTACTTATGCTAATTTTGATCTTCTCCTTTCCTTAGTTACCCTCAACGTGAACCATGTACAGTTACCGGCCTTCTTTATACATGTTGAAATCATCTTAATCGATTTTTTCTTGTGTGATCTCTAATGTGTGCTCCTTCAACCACTTTTCTGATGTTCATTTCTAATTCTATTATTTCTCATCTTATCACACATTCATTTCGACATTAGTATTTTTGCCATGCTCACTTAGTGCATGCAATGTCCTTAGCTGCCTATCAATTTTTTTATTTTTATTTTTTTCTCTTTTTTAACGATATATATATATATATATATAGGTCTTTTAGTTTAGTTACTATCTCCAATTTTTATTTAAATTATTTTAAACAAACCTAATGTAATACTAAATTAAATTACAACGAGAATAGTAGAATTTAACAACATAAATAAGCGATCTCTGCTGAGTCTCATACTATACTTTTTTAGTTCGGGGTAATAATAATGTATAATTAATTAACCTCGTTCACAAAGTAAAACTTATTGATTATTATTTCTATTCCAATTAATTATTTATTACAAGACACTAATTAAAAAAGTTATAACCTTTTTTTTATTTTTATTTATTTTTATTTAGGTGAAGAATAATTTTATTGACAACAAAGTTAACAACACGTCAAGGGCAAAGAGGACCACCTCACAACCTTTGAATATGACCCTCAACCGACCAAAGTAACAACCAAGAGGAAAAAGATGAAATGACTTTATTAAAAATTAATATTTGGACTCTTATACTTTTTTATTTTATTTTATAAATAAAATAAAATAAAAAAAGAAAGAAAACCACACAATTGTCTTTTAAACTTATTTTACCATTACCATCAAGGGTGATTCTTTAATTGAATGTGGGTTACTAATATGCCATGTTATTTATTTTTTCTTTTTTCAATATATATCTCTAAAATATTGTTAATGCACTTCCTGAAATTATTACAAAATTTTAGTCTTGTCCGCCCTTACCTAAAGTTATAGGTTCGCCTACAAAATAGTTGGGTATAAAACGACCTTCCCAAACAAACAAACAAAAAAAACAACAACAATAACAAAATACAAACGCGTGCTCACACACACTCTGAAGCTCTAAGCCAAGCATGAAATAAAAGTGAGTTTTACCAATATTCAATTAGAAGTCCCGCGCTTGAATTTTAATTTTAAATTCAAATTCAGAAAAACAGGTCGGATATAAGTCAAGTTCATAATGGTTGAGTCAAATATAGATGCGGACGAGCATCAAATGGGCCGAGGTTTTTAGTTTGAAATTCAACCGGCTTAAGAATGTTCGTAATATACAAGGATTTTGTTTAGATTACATGATTCGGCTATAATTATATTCAAGAGTGAATGTGCATCGTGGCACAAAAATATAAATTGAGATTAAGTCCTTGTAAGGACAAAATGGATGGTACATTATTTGCAATAAATAAATAGCACACACACCCGCACTATAAAGCTTTGATTCTAAGCCGGACATGAAATAAAGCGAGGTATACCACAAGTCCCACGCTGGAATTTTAATTTAAAATTCAAATTAAAAAAATGTGTCGAATATAATATAAATGAAAGATCATAAATTCATAATGATCGAGTCAAATATAGATGCCAGTGAGCATTAAGTGAATTGATGTTTTTGTTTGAAATCCAACCCCTCCAAGAATATTAGTACAGCAATATGTAAGGATTATCTATATATAACATCTTAACTCAAATATGAATGTAAATCCTGACACTTAAATACAGTATAAAACTAGATTAAGTTCGTGTAGGGACAAAATGGATAGGTAACAAAAAGAACAAGACACACACACACACTGAAACTCTAGTTCTAAACCGGTCTTGAAATAAAGTGAATTTTATCAATACTCAATTAGAAGTTCCGTGCTTGAATTTTAATTTTGAATTCAAATTAAAAAACGAGTTGAGTACAAATATTTCTAGAAAGATCATAATGATCGACTCATATATAGATATGAGGCATTAAATAAATGGAGGTCTTAGTTTGAACTTTGCAATCCAACCAATTTACAAACATTTAATATATAAAAATTGTGTTTAGATTACATGACTCGGATATAATTAAATTCAAAAGTGAATATGAATCATGACACGAAAATATATATCTAGAGAATAATTTACAGGAACCAACTTCATATTCGCTCTATTTCATCCTTTGCCTCTAAGGTTAATTGTGTCATTTCATTTATTATAAAAATTCAATACTTTCTAATTTAAAATTGGCAAAGGATAATAGTGATAAAATTAATTGTATTTGTTGACAAGTGCAATTAAATGGGCTGACTTGACCCGGATCCTTTCACCCGACCCTAATCAGGTAAGCATACAGTTGGAATGTCTAAATATTTAAAAGAATTATAAAAAGAAATCGAAAATTAAAAGTCAAGATTTCTCAGTGGACCACCGTTGATATATGGGGGAGGTGTTCGACCTATAAGCATAGGGTTTGAACTATTTTCCGCCCCTTATATTTTTGAAAATAGCTTTCAGACCGTTTACATTTCTCACTCCAAAACTCTCTCTTTCTCTCTCTAACTTCGCCGTGCCTTTGCGGATCTCTCTCCATATACTGAATCGGATCTGCGATGCGCATTGAATCGGATGGATCATCGGCCTCTTTAGTTTTCTCTCTCATCGGATTACACACTTTGAAGCACAGTTCGGTGAGTGTTTTCTGGTTTAATTGTTTTAGTTTGTTTCAAGTTTCGCATCATCGGCCTCGTTAATGTGAATTTTTTGTTTTCTGTAACTTCTGATACGGATTTTTCTCTAGCAGAGTTTCATGAATGAAAACATATTCTAATTCAAGCCTAAAGAATCAGAATTCAATTTGTCTGAAATCAATTTTATAGTTGGTACTTTTATGCTCTTATTTGTTTGTTTTGTAATTTATAGAATTAGTACTTGAGTGGTTAGATCGTGGTTTGTTTTGTGAGTTGTTTAATTTAATTGATCTGTTTTTGAGTGAGTAAAAATTTTAGCGGCTTGGGTTTGGGGATCTTTTTGGCCACTTATGGGTTTGGCAACACTTAATTCTAATCTTCTTCTCTCTCTTGATTTTGTTTGGTTTCCAGTGTATTTGTATTTGCATTTTTTGCTAAGATGTGATAATTTGAAATGTCAACTGTGTTTCCTTAGCTGGGTGTGCAATTTTTTTTTACTTGGTTGCACGTATTTGATCTATTGTGAGTTGGGTTTTTGATTTTCTGCTGGGAAACAATTCCGGAGAATTGGAATTTAGCTTGGTTAAAGAGAATGCTGCCCATAATCAAAATTGTCAATAGATGAAGTCACAGGGGCGGAGCCAGGATTGCAAAGTAGGGGGCTAAAGATAATAAGAAAATTTGAAGATGAACACAATAATTCTTATGATAAAGATATGTTATATATATTTAAAAATAGACTATAAAAATGATGATGTTCTCATATATCAAATCAAGTTTTTCAGAAGATAAAAATTAAAAATCACCTGTAAATAAAGTTTCCTGATCTCAGAGCGTGATGCGTATTTTCTTCACTGATTTTTTTTTTTTTTTTTTTTTTTTTTCTATATTTGTTCAAAAAATGAGAAATTGAACCCCTTCTCAAGTCTTTGCAATTTCCTTGCTAGACCGCCAAACAGGCCAAACCCTATGAGGGAAAATACTACAGCGCGTTGAGAGGAAGTGGCTGAAGAGCAGTAAAAATTGATTACATATCACATATGAATTGGGTTGATAGGAAGAGGAAGAGTAGTACTATGGATTGGGCTGATAGGAGGAGATAGACTAGTACTAAAAATTGATTATATATGGATTGGGTTGATAAGAAATAGTAGTACTAATTTTTTTTTAAAAATTGGACCTGGGCTATAGCCCAGGTTAGCCCATTAAAAGCTCCGCCCATGGATGAAGATTTAGGCAGTCACTGTAGTTGAATGAAATTAAATTTAGTTTTCCAGATTATGTATTTAAGAGAAGTGATTACTCATATACTGAATTTCAAAACAGTATTTAAGAGAATTTTCTTTTCTTTATTTTGATCCATTGCTTTAAACTTTTTGGGTGTAAATTATGCTCTACTGTTCTGATCTTCTCTCTCTTATTTTTGTTCCTTTCTCAGCCTTTGATTTTATCCTGCGAAAAGGTAGCCCCTGTTACGTCTTAGAGAAATTGATAATGATTTGGAGAAGACATTTTGGAGAGAGTTGTGGTCCAGTTGGAATTGGGGTATGCAGATTTGCCTGTTTGATAAGCAATTATGGAAAGTGCTAGGACAAACACAACTCCTTCAGATGGGGTCAGCAGTGGTTACCAGAAAATGCGACCTCCTCATGGGTATATTTTAAAAGGACATGGAACATGGCTCTTGTTTCCTTTCATGGTTTTCATATTTATTTTTTCTAATTTATTTTTTATTTTTTATTAACGGGTATTCTTGTTGTACCTTTGATACCTTGGGACAAGTAATAGTTGCTATATAACTGTACATCTTCATGGTACTTCAACACCCATCTGAGTGAAAGTGTCTATGTTTGCTGAAAATCAACTTTTTCAGCCAGATCAAATATTCCTACTGGTACTTGGCACTTCAGCTGGTACCAATTATGTTGATGCTGAGTTGGTCCTTTGTTTATGATGATATACCTCTTAAGTTACATTGCTCATAATCAGCTTGAGTTTTTACAGGATTCATTCTTGACGTCTGTTGATGAATCATCACTCATAAAAGTTTCTTTCTCTTGAAAAGCCTTCAAGCAAAAAAAAAAAAAAACCACCAAATTGATTGCTAACCACATTACTTTGTAGCGATATTTTTTGTTTCTAAAGGACCCACCTCGCTCATCATGAGAATTATACACTCATATACATGCACTCAGACAATAATCTGATTTTGAATGTTTTATACATCTGTCATCTAATTTGATTGAGATAGTGACCATTATGTCAACAGCTTGATCTTGTATAACATTATGGCACTTTCTTATAGGAGGATTAGTGGCCCTACAAGGCGTTCCACAAAGGGACAATGGACACCCGAAGAGGTAAAAGATTATTTCTTTTTCGCAAATTTAGATAATATATTGAGGCCAATGACTTGATATTCTACAGCTTTTGAGGCCAATGACTTGCTATTCTATAGCTTTATACTATTGCTCTTACTGAAAATAGTTTATCATTATGTTTATATTGTATGCACATATATGACATCAATACTAGCATGAAGATTCTTTAATCCAAAAGCATTTTGTTCTCACATGTTGTAATCTTTCAGTCATTTCCATAAGCATTGTTAGCTAGTGAGATGCCCTATATGCAAATTGGCATTATCGAATACCATTTTTGTTTAACAATATAAAGGGTTTGAAATATGAATCATCATTCCTGTAATTTATTCTTCACCTAGTTCCTGTATGTTATGCATGCCCGTTGGCACTGTTCCAACAGCGTATTGTCTTTTTTCTATCAACTGCTACTTAAATATTTTTTTATTCTCTCCCCTCACTGTATTTATGAGTTAATGAACACATATTGCGCGTTAATCAAATTTTGATCCTTTAGTAATTGAACTCTCAAATTTCATGTTTTCAAATTTTCTTTTCCTGAATGATATTTTCAAATTCCGATTGTAAATTTTTAATTTTTGTTGGGTTTCAGTAATTGTTTTTACTGATCTGCATTGAATTTTTTATATTCGTATCCCTAACGAGTTGGATTTTATTTTACATTCAGGATGAGATTTTGTGCAAGGCTGTTCAACGTTTTAAAGGAAAAAACTGGAAGAAAATAGGTACCCTTGGGAATTTATTTCCATTAGCATTCTTGAAACTATAGATAGGTTTAGTATCATCAATTTGTCTCTTCATTTCCTTATTGTTTTGATATATATGAACAAAATTGATGTAGCGGGCTTTCTTGCCTTCCAATTTATTCATAATTGTATGCCCTTCTGGAAAAGAAAAACATTTTTTTTCTTTTGTTATTTTAAAATTCCATTTGGACGTTTAGTTCTCTTTTTATGGCCATAAAAAACTCTTATCTGATTCAGTAGATAAAAGGACCTTTTTATCTTTCATTAAAGGTGGACATCAGACTGATGTGTTTTTTATGTTTAGTGCATTTGTCATCTTTGGAAGTCTTATGCTGTAGTGTACACACTTCCGCGAGCCAAGGGTGTTCCAACCCTATTGCTATTTTTTTCAAAGGTCCAATCCTTTTAAAATGGGCAACGGTCTTAAGGGCCTGTTTGGCCCAGACCTGTTGCCAAAAACTGGTTTGTCCAACAGAAACAGTGCCTAAACAGCTTTTTAGGGCAAAAAAATGCCAAAAAAAGTTTGAATTCCATTTTTTTTTCCTGCAAAGCAGCACAAGATTGAAATAAGAGCTGTTAAGGCAGTGTTTGGCTGACACAAATAGTGCCTAAATGGCTTTATTGGCCCAAAAAAGTTAATTTTCAATTTTTTTCCCTAAAAAATGATTTTGTTTGTTTGTTTGTTTCGTTTTGTTTTTTTGCCTTTCTTTTCACCTCTATAAATTTATCAACCCCTACCACCATTCACTTCACATCCAACCCATCTCTATTCTCTACTCCTCCAAGCTTCGCTGGGTGGGCACATGTACTCCTCCCCATACACGCCAACAACAGCCCTAAAAAATGCCATCACGCTTTCAATGGCAGTGCTCTTGCCGATTTTAATATACTCGTCACACTGATTGGTTGCGCAACCATATGCAACTATACGCATTGCAATTGTCATCTTCTATATAGAAGACAACCCCAAACGACATGTCGCATCCCTTTTTTGGACTAAGTAGTCCTCATAAACTTTAACATCATTCAGGATATGAATAAGTAGTTCTTGTTGCATCTTGAATTGTCTATGAAAGTACTCCGTTGGAAATTCACAAATCTCGTCAAAGTAGTCTTTCATTAACTGACGGCGATGAACGTACTGCCTCTTAAGTGGTTGAAAGGCTTGCTCTAATATCTCTAATTCAAAAGTGAATTGTAGGCGTCTTGGTTCCATTGATTCAACGTGGTAATAGGATCATCTGACATCTGATGAGGAGGATGACGAAGAAGATGAAGAATTAGAGTCTGGCAAAGGAAAAGATCGTGATGACGAATCCATTGGAACTTTGAGATTGAAGGAGATGGAGAATATCTATATGAATATAGCTGTTGGGGAAAGGTAAAAAATAAAAAAAAATTATTATTTTTGGAGAGCAAAAGCGCACCATTGTGGCACCTTCGCGAGCTAAAATTTGAAGAGTCCAAAGCGCTGACGCGGCTCTTCAAAAACGATGACGTGGCAAATTTGGGGACGCAATTTGAGATGCTCTGAGGATGAGAATTAGTTATTGGGATGTATTCATTGGATTGCATATAATCTAGTGCACTCACTGCAATAACTGGACTAGTTCTTTTTAAAAATCATTATAACACTTTAAACTTTTTTTCAGACTTTCAGTATGGTTTTTAAACTTTTTTCCCTTTTATAACACTTTACAAGAAAAGGGGAATTGCTGGGTGCATTGGTAAAATGCTCGGCTGTCATGCTTGAGAGCATGGGTTCCAATCCTAATAGCAACCATTTTGTGCAAATAATTGAGTGGTGCAACTGTCAAAGATAGTTTTAAACTAGATTTGATTCTTTGGTCAGAATGACCTAGAAGGGATGAATTTCATTTTTCGCTCCTTTGATTGATTTCAAATAATTGATTGAAGTTTTTAGTTAACGAAACACATAATCAAGCTAATAAAAATAAATTGTAGTAAAAGTTAAAGAGCATTGCGAAGAGATGCCACAATTTTCTCGTGGAAACCTTAATGAGGGAATCCACTATTCTGGAAAAACAGTACAAGGGATTCCAATCACTTACAGAATGCTTCGAGCTTCTGACTCAAGTGCTTTAAAATCACTTGCTGTTACTTTACTTCCAATGTTTAGTGTTCTCCGAATCCAGTGTTTCGAAATCATCAACCACACCGATCCACATCAATGCAATCATCTTGGGATGATCTGCTTCTCCTAGTGGACGTTGAACCAAACGGCTTGTTGATTAAGTGTTGTGCTCAATGCCTTATGTCTGCTTGCCCCGTTTGTATTGGTTTATTGGAGCTATTGGAATTGATTGTATTGGTGCATTAATATATCTGTTTAGTTCCAAAATGTTTTTTAAAAATACTTTTGAACAATAAATAAATATGCTCCAAAGGTTTTGTCTTCTCACACAGGCAAATGCCTTTTCCAAAGTGTGTAGCGTGATCTAGATGAGCTTAAGTTGGCTTTGAGTATCATCAGACACTTCGACTTAACTCGAAAACACAAAATACAACTTCAAAGTTTTGGAACGAATATTGTCCACACTTTTGCACCAAAATACTCAACAATAATGCCAAATAATATTCTTTTAGTATATCATCAAATGGTTTGACCTAACTCGAAAAACCAAAATTACTACTTCAAAGTGTTGGAATGAATATTGCCAACACTTCTACGTCAAAATACTCCACGATAATGCCGAATGACAGGTTTGTATCCAGTCCACCCCTCCATGCACCCTCGGTTAATGGGGACCAGATTGAGTAGTGACCCTGACTCTTTGACACTTTACAAGACTGGTAGACTTATTTGTGTATCTACTTATTATTTGTGACCACTTGCTCCATTATATATGCACTCAACATTGAACTAGTACTATAAAGATTGTACTTCCTATGGAGGGATGGGTTGCTTACTAATTAATAAATACTAATTTAATGAAATTATAATAGAAAAATACTAATACTAATATAATAGAAAAATAGAAAAGAACTGTCTTTTATGTATAGTTTCCCCAGTTCTACTGCTACTGCAGGCTTTGTGCAATCAATCGAATTATATAGATATCCCTTCAATACAGCATAGGTCTTCGAAAGGATCTCGGAGTATGGGGTATTAGCAGATATACCTTCAATACAGCATAGGTCTTCGAAAAGAATCTTGGAGTATGGGGTATTAGCAACTGTTTCCAGCTGCTATTCCCCCCCAAGGGCAGGTTCTTACGTGTTTCTCATCCATTCGCCACTGGAAACACCATTTCCCGTCCGACTTGCATGTTTTAAGCATGATGCCAACGCTCATCATGAGCCAAGTAGTACACTTGACGTGTTGGGCTATTTGATTTGTAACCTTTATGTGCATCTGTGAGGCATTTTTGTTTTGAAATTCCTTGGGTAAGCTTAAGTTCATTTCTTTAGGGCGATACAGGGTTTTGTTATTCGTGCATAGGAAAGTGCTGGTCCCATATGCTCTGATGCAAAATTATTTAGGCAACTCTGCCAAAAACTATAGGATCATTATTATAGTTCTTCATGCTGTTTCATTTTGTGTGCACTTCATTTTTTTTCCTCATTTGGCCCTCCTTTTTTATAATAGAATTTTTTTTTTGGAATTATTGTAAATAAAATGTTTTGAGTATCAGTTATTGCTGAAATTTCAGATCTGCTTGCTCTATCTAGGGAATTATTTTCTGCTATTCAACAATTATTATTATTTTTTACAAAAAATCCACAGCATTTCTGGTTTTCTTCTTCTTCTTGTTATGCTTTCAACTTGTACTACTATGGTGCAGTTAAATGTGTTCCTTGCCATTCAACCAAATTATCTTGTCCCTTTTTTATTTGTTCTTATTGTTTTGGTTTATCTCCATTCTTTTACAATATCAAGTATTTTAATTTTGAAAATTTGTTTTATGTAGCGGAATGTTTCAAGGATCGGACCGATGTACAGTGCTTACACAGGTGGCAGAAAGTTTTGAATCCAGAACTGATCAAAGGTCCATGGTCTAAAGAGGTCAGGCATTATTGTGGTTTCTTGCATTTTTCAATTTCACTCCTCTTTAGATATCTTTATCCTAATTTTTCATTAGTTTGGACTGTTGGAATATTCCTTTCATAATGCCGATATGACCAACATAATTACACTTGTGACGTACATACAGGAGGATGAAATAATAATTGAATTGGTGAATAAATATGGGGCAAAGAAATGGTCTACCATTGCACAACATTTACCTGGGCGTATTGGAAAGCAATGTCGGGAACGGTAAGATTTGACAGTTTTTTGCTATTTTGAGGGCTTGATTTTTTCCTTCATTCCATGATAGGTTCTTTAATCTAAATATCTTTTTTGAAGATTGGGTGAAAAGTCAATATGTATGAGTTGGTTTTTTTGGGTTTAAAATTTTTCATCATTCTTTGCATGGTATGTGTCTGTCTTGTTATAATTAAGCAACCAATCTGAAAATGCTGGAAAACGATAGCAAGGCATTTCTACATATGAAATCATGCAAACACAACAAATTTTCTTCATATACAGCATACTATAATGGTAAATTTCACTATTCATTTTTGGTCAAATTAGTATTATTTGAGCTTTATTATTTCTTTTCCTTACAAGACTGTTTGATTGCTATAATATTACCTTAGTATACTTATTTCTATTAATTATTATTTTTTTGTTATATATTTTGTTTTTGGGTTGCCACGTGGTTAGTACTACCCATTGCGAATAGCCCAATAAGTTTGGATGATGAAGCTATCAGTTCTTTTTGCTTCTGATTAAGCATTTAGGATGCTACTTGTTTTTGTTTTTGTAAAGCATCTGTTTTTCACTCTTCCACACGGACTTTGGTACCCTATAATTATCTACTTAGCCCTCTTCTATAGTGGAATGAAAAACAATATATTCATCTGATTATATATCTGCCCTTTTTCTTTTCTTTTTTTGACCCTCCTTTGGTGTTGGTGATTGTTGTGTAGCTTTAGTCTCTTTTCTTCTCTTCTTTTATTTAAGGTGTAGAAGACTGTTTATTGAACTTATGCAGTTCAATCGTGAGTTTTTTTCATAGTTTTGATGGCATGCACATCTTTAATGATACATTTTCTAGATGGCATAATCATCTTAATCCCGCTATAAACAAGGAGGCTTGGACACAAGAAGAGGAATTGGCTTTGATTCATGCCCATCAAATCTATGGGAACAAGTGGGCAGAGTTAACAAAGTTCTTGCCTGGAAGGTATGTGGCCATCTGGCCGTCTATCACTTGAAAGCGACGCAATAACTTCCAATTATTTTTTGTTTAATTTAGAGCTCTCATATATTTTATGCTTTCTGATATATTAGTTACTTGCACTTTTCTGTCTCCCAAGAATTATTATGTTTGTTTGAATTTGCTTATTTGGCTAGTGTTCATGCTTTTTATTACATTTGTACATCTGTTGAAACTTACTTTTATCAGCATGATTTCTGACTTGTTTTTGCACGGTCATCAGGACAGACAATGCCATTAAAAATCATTGGAACAGTTCTGTGAAAAAGAAGCTGGATTCATATTTGGCATCGGGATTATTCGCGCATTTCCAAGGCCTTCCTAATGTTAGCCATCTTAACCAATCCATGCTTGCATCCTCTTCTAGGGTGCAACAGAGCAGTGGAGATGACAGTGTTCCCAAAGATAGGGCAGAAGCCGAGGAAATCTCAGAATGTAGTCAAGGTTCAAATGTTGTTGGTTGTTCGCAACCTACAAGTGACATGGTCAATGCAGATGGACATACTAGAGAAGAATACAGATTGACTGAAGAATCTTCTCATGGGAGGGATCCAGGTTCAAGTCCAGCATCATGTTCAGAACATTATCACACAGCTCTTGAAGAAGTTCCTTTTCCCCTGCCAGAAGTACCTTGTGAACTGGGTGGTTCTTCAAAGTTCTTTGAACACAATTTCTCACATGAGTGGGGAACTTTTGCAGGCAAAGACTGGCAGCATAACTCGAATGAGTTACCAGATATATCTTTACTGGATTTGGGGCATGAATCATCTGGATTATTGATGCATCCTGTGGGTGGCAACTCAAACAATGAAGTGGTACCTTTTCCATTCCAAACTTCTGAGTGTTTAGGAAATTCTACCTCCATGGGAAATATGACAGCAGGTTCGGATAAACCAGAGAAGATATTAGCATCTGAAGGTGGCAGTTACAGGGTGATACATCCACAGGGGACTGATGGACGTTTTTCATCGGGGAATCTTGTGAAATGCTCTAATGTTGTTGAAGTGGATGAATCCACTGATTTGTTACCTTACCAATCATCAAACTATCAGATCCCTGAAATTTCAGGCACTTTAGATTCACAATTGTATTATCCCCTGCAGTCTGACATCTTGGAATTTTCAGGTTGTCAGCCTTTTGTTCCTTCACTACTACCTCATGATGATGGTGCTTTTATCATTTCTGGTGACCCTAATCAGTTTAATGATCTCTCACCTGGAAACCAACAGCTTGTTACAAGTTCACATGATGGGCTTATCTATACCAATGACTCTGGTATATATCCTTGTGATGATTGCATAGATAACATGGTTGCTCATCTAGCAAAAGAATCTAAAAAACTAGTTCCTGTAGATGTTTTTGGTTCAAATAGTATACAAACTTTCCCTTCAAATAGTTCAGTTGTGCCAACCGAGCAGCAGGATGCAGGACCTCTATTTTATGAGCCTCCTCGTTTCCCTAGCCTGGATATTCCTTTTTTCAGTTGTGATCTAGTTCAATCTGGTAGTGATATGAAACAAGAGTATAGTCCACTTGGTATCCGCCAACTGATGATGTCTTCGATGAACTGTTTCACCCCATATAGACTTTGGGACTCGCCGTCTCATGATGCTAGTCCAGATGCTGTGCTGAAAAGTGCTGCCAAGACTTTCACATGCACCCCATCCATATTGAAAAAACGACACCGTGATCTGTTGTCACCTTTGTCAGAAAAGAGGAGTGGAAAGAAACTCGAGAGCGACATGAATCAGGAGTCATGTCCCAGCTTGGGTAGAGATCATTCTCAAGTACATGTTATGTCTGATGAGAATGGGAACCAGAGAGCACCTCTGCGGTCTCCATTATCAAACCAGAAAAGAAATTCTGGAGTATTGACCGAAAATAAAGAAAATATGGGTCACACTTTTGAAGGGGGCAATGATGACACTGCGCTTTTGAACAACAAAAATTCAGAGGAAGAGTTTGATAGCACTCGTCCCCAAGACAATACAAAGGAAGATACTGCTGGTACTGATGATAAGTCTAATGGTGATGCTGATGCTGCAGCCAAAATTGTGAGTTTTTGTTCTTGGCATCTCTATGCTGATGCTGCAGACAATATAATATGCATACATGATAGATGTTTATAGATTGTGATTTTCTAATTTACATCATGAAGCGGACAACTCATTCATTACTTTTGTATGAAAAAGTCTATCGTTCTGATGGCAATCAATTTGCCGGTATCAACTGGTTTTTACATTTTCTTGATCCGTGTTGTGAAGTTTTAACATGTTAGTTGGCATTTTTCTTTCTTCTGTTCAATATCTTCATATGCCCTATCTTGATTGATGCTTAAACTGTTGGAGAGTCTATAGTAAATACATTATCAGTAAAATACTTTGATTATGCATCCATGATAATTAGAAATGATATTTCCAATTGTTGGTCCCCTCTGAATGTGGGGTGCTGGGAGGAAGGGTGAACTAGGTAAAGGACTATTCTCAGACTTGAACCCTTATTTTTCGCCCTTCGGAACCAAGTTTTTTATGAATGCGCCAAGTAATGGCCACTTTGACAATTGACTCATTTTCTTGAATTTTTACAGCTACTTCTGATATTATTGTTCAATCTTTTACCATTACAACTTACTGATTAGATATTTTTTATCCTTATTTTCAGGTGCAACAGCCTTCTGGTGTACTTGCTGAACATAACATGAATGACCTCCTTTTATCTTCTCCTGATTGTTCTAAAATTAAACCAGACAGAGCCATGTGTCCAGGAGTTCAAACTCTTAGAAATCGGCATTCCAGAAGTTTGGTGGAAACTGCATTACGTCAAGGCACTCTTCCAGAACCTTCGTCTGCAAATCCATGTTCATCGTTTTCTAGCTCTCCTATTGTTTCTGCAAAGGACACAAATTATTTAGTTGCAGTTACATCTGTACAATCTGCTCCTTCATTGTCTCCAATGGAGATGAAGGTTGGGAATTCTGGGAAAGATGCTGTTTCTGAAAATTTTAGCATGTAAGATTCTGCAGAATTTATTTTCTTTACACTATCATTTTGTACATTCTATTATACTGTTCTTGAGTCTTTTTATTTATTTATTTTTTTGTGTGTGTGTATGATCACTGGTCTTATTGTGCCTTGTTATGAACCTCTCTCTCTGTGTGATGAGAGATACAGCTCACTTTGATTTCTAAATTGTAATGTGTTTATTTCTTTTTTTGTTCATCTATTTTTAAAACTATTGAATTAGTATCAATAGCCTCCCATGGTTATTTCTTATGGTTTGCATGCTGATGGTCTTTGTTATTAGATTTTGCGGAACTCCTTTCAGAAGAAGTATTGAATCCCCTTCAGCTTGGAAGTCTCCTTGGTTTATTAACTCGTTTGTGCCAGGCCCTAGAGTCGATACAGATATAACAATTGAGGTATCTCAAGTTTTGTTAGTAATGAACCCCCTTCATATGTTATGGGATCTCTCATTCTTTTTCTGCAATTCTTTTTGCTTCTTTATAACTTTTAGAAATTTGTTGCAGGATATAGGGTATTTTACGAGCCCAGGGGACAGAAGCTATGATGCCATTGGGTTGATGAAACAGCTTAGTGAGCATACTGCAGCTGCATTTGCTGATGCACAGGAGGTTTTGGGAAATGAAACGCCTGAAACAATATTAAAGGAAAGATGCTCCAACAACCAGAAATCAGAGAACAATCTAATTGCAAATGGGCAGCTGGGGAACCGCTCCCCTGTGGCTTCAAATATCTTGGTAAGGATTTTTGCACCACATTTGAGAAATTAAATTTCCTTTTTTTATGATTCACTAGTTTTGAGCTCTACTCAGCTCTACACAACTGAACGATTATGATTATTGAAACTGATCCAGACCGCTATAGTCTGTTTTTTAGGATCAGGTTGATTTATGAAAACTGAAAAGTAGGATTTTCTCTTCTTTTATAGTGTCATGCCCTTGAACGCTTCTTTATTGAAGTGACGAACAAATTATAGTTTACAACTTTGTGGACCTAAAGATGACACACTAAAAATGGAAAGAGAGGAAAAATTAACAAATTCTAGTTTGTCCAAAGATTCAGGTATACATCATATGAAGTAAAAAGGAGAAATGTGCCAAAATGAAATTGTCAGCAAATACTAAATGGTTGTTACATCTAACCAATCATTATCATCGTTGCCATCATAATCTCTAGTTTAAATTCATTCATGTTTTGCAACTTCAAAAAATCATGAGAACTTTTAGAAACTTTGAAAGAAAATGAGAGTTTTGGTTAAAAATGACCTTATTCATGGTTACTTTGAAATCACGGGAGTGCTTTAATGTATAAAGTGCTCATACAAAATCCAGTACGGACTATGGACATGATATTGAAGTTTAGGTCCTTGTCACATATATATTTGTTTGTTATCATTTTCGTTACTTATTATAGCCTGATTAATTAATGGAATATTCTTCTAACAGGACAACTTGTTTAGTGAAGTTAAAAATTTCAATCCTGCTTTGGAAAAGTTCACCAAATCAGTATTTTTAGAATTTATCTGAACCATTCTCTTCATGTCTTGTTTTGGGATTTTTTTTTTTTTTTCAGTCAGAGAGGCGAGTGCTTGATTTCAGTGAATGTGGGACACCTGAGAAGGGAACGCAAAGCAGGAAATTTTCTACTGCCATAAGTTTTTCAAGCCCATCTTCCTATTTGCTGAAGGGTTGCAGATAGCAAGTTCTGAATCTTACGGCGAATAGGCCTTGTACTGTAAACATTTCGGAGTATACCTGTATTTTTTATCAGCCTTCTTTTGCTGTTATTATATATAATCTGTAAACTTTTTACTATATAAATTATTTATTCATTCAAGATTTTGTTCTTTGTGCATTCTGATTTCCTTTTGGTGTTTTTTCATTTCTTAGCAGACTCAAGCAAGGTGCATGATTTCTTTTCTCCTCCTTTTTTTTTTTTTTTCCTCTTTCTTCCTCCAACTTTTACAGTTTTAGGCTTGATGTGTTAGAGAAAGTAAATTGAGAAAGAAGTGTGTGGCAAACACTGTTGAATGAAGTTGTGATCATATTCAAGTCTACCACAGTGGTGTGAAGTTTCAGTTTTTCGAGCTAGATATTAGTTGCGAAAATGCGTAATAATTTAGTATTTCGTATCAGTTTGTAAATAATTCTATCATAATACTTGATGTTGACGCAGTTAACCAAAGTTAATACTGTCTAACTCACTAGAGGCCTGGGAAACAAGATGATGTGTACCGAAGAGAAATTTAGTAGTAAGACGGGAATTGATAGAATGGGGGAACTCCGAACATATGGCAATATCCTCTCCGGATGGAATAGAGGAACTCAAAACATATGACACGTATGATGGAATAGAGGAACTCGAAACATATGACACGTGTGACGATACTCTTTTGGATTGTTGTTATGAGGGAAAACTTGTTCTTAGTAGCTTAAAATTTTAAATCAGATCGTGTAGCATCCAGCCAAACCGTTACAGTTAGTATTAGAGCCATACTGAACCTTCCGGGTAGGCAGATGGCCCGATGAATTCAGATGGGAGAGAATCTTAAACTTGTCACCCTTGCACTTCATTAGGTTTTTTTAAATAAAAAAAATTATATAATTATTCTATGTCTTAGATGTGAGCAAATGAATACCTTTGGTAATTATCATGAAGTTAAAAAGGTTCTTTATGGAACGCAATGAAGTGAATAATTGAGTATTCTGCATTGGCAAATTAATCCCAACTTAAACATAACATGAGATTTTCTGTGTTTCAATTATTACATAAATTTTTGAAGATGCAAGAAATTCCTTCTCCACTTTCTCTCTCTAGAATTCTTACACCTCAACCCAAAAAGATCCCCCTTCATTTCATTCCATCTCCTATTTATAGATATTTACAAGATATTTACAAGATATTTACTAATTGCTGGATCTGGGCCTATTCCTTCGTAAGCCTTGGTCACCTTTGATGGGCTTACTATCGTTCGGCCCATATGGCAGTGTCCTTCTATGGGCTGGCCCAGCTGTACGGATTGAATGCTATGTTTGCGAGTCGGATCTGGCCCATGTCATCCGGGGCCTCCTCAAGTGGCAAGTGGCATTCTAGCCGAGCGCCAGGCACTTAAGCAAGATAAGTGGCAGCTGGCACTATAAGCCGAACGCCAGACACTTGCTAAAAATTTAAAGCCAAGTGGCAAGTGGCATTCTAGCCGAGCGCCAGGCACTTAAGCAAGATAAGTGGCAGCTGGCACTATAAGCCGAACGCCAGACACTTGCTAAAAATTTAAAGCCAAGTGGCAAGTGGCATTCTAGCCGAGCGCCAGGCACTTAAGCAAGATAAGTGGCAGCTGGCACTATAAGCCGAACGCCAGACACTTGCTAAAAATTTAAAGCCAAGTGGTAAGTGGCATTCTAGCCGAGCGCCAGGCACTTAAGCAAGATAAGTGGCAGCTGGCACTATAAGCCGAACGCCAGACACTTGTTAAAAATTTAAAGCCAAGTGGCAAGTGGCATTCTAGCCGAGCGCCAGGCACTTAAGCAAGATAAGTGGCAGCTGGCACTCTAAGCCGAAACGCCAGACACTTGCTAAAAATTTAAAGCCAAGTGGCAAGTGGCATTCTAGCCGAGCGCCAGGCACTTGCCGTAAACAAACACACGGCGAAGCTAATATAAAAAGAAAAAGAGAGAAAAGATATGTATGTACTGAAGATAAGTTGAATAGAGCACAACACATAGGGAAAAAGAGTTCTGTCATTTCATTAATATTGAACATTGAGTTTACAAAAGAGAGATGTCCATCATTACAAGAAGATATGAACTAGAAGAATTCGAAGGAGCCCTAGCTAGACGCCTCAGTACCAACAGCATCCTGGTCTTGCCGACTCGCCTCCTCGGCCCCATCAACCGCCTCACCTTCATGAGGTGGGGAATCCAGGTGAATGACTGAATCGTTCGGCTGGGGTTCAGCGTCAGCAGTGGCTATAGAAGGAGCCACGGTTGACGATTGGGGAGCGGTCAGTGGCAGAGCGGTAGGAGGAGCTGTGATGATCCTTGAGGATGCAATGTCCTGGCACTCATCAAATATACGTTCCGCTTCGGTGGGTTCTGGGTCGACATAGACCCCCAGAGGTTCGATCCCCAGATCCTTGTCTACCTCATTCGGAGTGGAGCTGGTCTGTCCCTCATCCGGAACCCGGTCGGCGAAACCTTCCCGGAATCCTTGAGCATACCGAAGAGCACCGACCCTGGAGAACCGAGCGTGAAGGGCCAGCATCCCACCACCCACTCTGCTGATCGCGTCGATCAGAGCGGTACGCTCGTCCAGAGCTCTTTTTTCAAAAGCCATCCGAGCAGACTGTTCATCAGCTAGAAGGCGCTGGAGTTCTGCCTTCTCTTCTCTAATTGATTCCCGCTCAGTCTGCCAGACGCTCTTCTCAAGCTGGAGGGCGTCCTTCTCATCCTGAAGGGAATCATTCTCCTTCTTCAGGACATCTCTCTCTTGCTCGGCTTTGTCAAGCCGAACCAGCACCTCGGTATTCTTCATGGCAAGGAGGTCGTTTTCTTTATTAGCCACCTCCAGGCTGTCAGAATACTTTCGGGCCCTGGCGTTGCCCATCTCCACCTGCTTCTGCATGGCCATCATCCCGAACAATGTCTGCATAGGTGCACAATAAAAACGGTTAAACCAATAGTCAGAACGGGCGAAGGCAAGACCAAGTAATATAAGAGAATTCATGAGTTAGAAAATAAAAGTCACCTCCATAGCAGATTGGGGAAAGCGACTGAACACGTCCTTCTGGGAAAGGCCCTTTGCCGCCTCAAGGTCCTTCGGAGTCCACATGCTCCTGTAGTAGGCCATAGCGGTCTGGCCATCCTTCAGCATGGTCTCGTTCGGTTTCACGAACGTCCCATCCGTTCGGGTGTACCGAGGGGCCCATGGCGGTAAGCTGGGGATAGAAGGGGGGCCTGAAGCAGAAGCAGAGCCACCAGCTGCAGGAGGCCCAGAGGGAGAAGGAGCTCTGATCGCTCGGTGCAAGAGAGTACCCGGCCCAGAGACCCGGGTCCTTCTAATGAGAGGCTCCTCCTCAGGATCGATTTCACTGTCAGGATGAGGCCTTTTGCCTCGTTCTTTGTCCCGACCGCCCCCCGCAGCAGCAGGAGCTATGGTAGCTGGGGAGGGCGCGTTCTGGTTGGCAGCAGGGGCGCTGGCAACAGGGTTAGTAGCCACTGCGCTCGGGACAGTGTCAGATATGGTGGCTGAAGAAGAAGCTGACGCTGGAGAGGAGGTCGCCCCAGCAGCAGGAGTGGCTGGGGGAGTATTTTTCCTCCTGCCAAAAGAGGGAATCTGAAGTCTGCTCATGTTGTAGCCGAGTGATGAGAGCGCAAAGAGGTTGTCTGAAGTGAGGAGATCTGAGCAGGAAGGAATATCGTTCAGAACGTATCTCTTCAAGTAGTTACTCCTATCCCTGCAAACACTATAGCTCAAGTCATCACAAGGTATTCCCAAGGAGCGGCATAAGTAAGTGCAAAAACGAGGAACGCATGTTTCACAGGGGCAGTCATGTTTATGGGATTTGAATTTTTTATAGGAGGAGACAGAGCAGACACCAAAGGCGCTCGGGATTGGGTAACCCTCTGCAGCCGGCGAAGACCAAGCCCCACTAATGCCCACTATGCTATCCCTCCAACCCTTTTCAGATTTTATTGTGTCAGTACATATGGACATCTTCTCGAACGGGTAGAGGTGGTAGAAGGGCTCGTTAATACGGATCTTACTCACCTTATAGCACAGAAGGAGGTCTATGAGGTCGAGGTCCAGATTTCTGTCACGCATCAACAAGAGCATAACAGATATGATTCTAAAGAAGTTGGGGTTGACCTGCAGAGGGGATATCCCCAATCTATTGAAGACATAACTAAAGAAAGGGTGCAGAGGGAACCTAACAACATTCAATTGAAGGTTTGTGAATAAGACTTCGCCGGGCAGGAGGCCGGTGCCGGTCGTAATGTTAACGTCTTGGGGGCAAACCCTAACTTCGATGTTATCAGGAAGTCTAAGTCTCATACGAAGAACATCCAGATCTACAACCATGGTGGAAGTGATAGAAGAATCTACAAGAGGGTAAATGGAAGCCTGCCGAAAGTAAAAAGAACGAAACTAACCTCGAAGGACTGCAAGATCGCTGGAAGAATGACTCTTGAAGAATTTCACCAAGGAAAGCTTAGCACTGTTTTAGAAAAGAGAGAGACTTGGCTGATGATGGAGACGGTAAAGGGAAGTGAAGTGAAATTCTAGAGCATTATAAAGGCGAGGGGGCCCGAGGGCCGAAGCGTCGGGAAGGCGAGAAATCCCTCGAGCCCCGGAACATTGATGCTGGATCTGACCGTCCACTCCCCCACGTGGTTATCTCGAGCCGTCAACATCATGATGAGACGCCATCAATAATTACCCCTTATTTAATAAGGGGCAATTATGGGGGCAGTTGAGGAGGCCCCGGATGACATGGGCCAGATCCGACTCGCAAACATAGCATTCAGTCCGTACAGCTGGGCCAGCCCATAGAAGGACACTGCCATATGGGCCGAACGAGAGTAAGCCCATCAAAGGTGACCAAGGCTTACGAAGGAATAGGCCCAGATCCAGCAATTAGTAAATATCTTGTAAATATCTTGTAAATATCTATAAATAGGAGATGGAATGAAATGAAGGGGGATCTTTTTGGGTTGAGGTGTAAGAATTCTAGAGAGAGAAAGTGGAGAAGGAATTTCTTGCATCTTCAATTTTGTTTCGTGATTTTGCTAAGACGATAACCTGTGTCAAACCAGAAGCTATTGTTACCAAATATTTAGAAAATGGTTAGCAAAAGCAATTCAAATTGAGTAGGATTTGAAACAAAACAAATTCCGCAAATATACTCTCATAATTCAACACCGAACACATGTAGTCCCCTGTGCACTAGCCTGGGGTGGTGGCTTCAAAGGGATTCGAACTGCCGATATCCAAAATGTGAGGTGAGTTTTTGCCGTTAGACTATCCCATTCGGTTGTGCAAATATACCAACACAAGCACCAAGCAATATTTGTACTTTGATTTAGGTCAAACTTACACATTCTTTCTTACCAAATTCCCAACCCATCGTTATAATCAAATTGAGCTTTATTTTCGTATAACATAAAGGAAGTACATTTCTCCTGTTCACAAATTAAGGGATTAAAAAAAAAATTCCCGTACATGCCATGAAACAAGTCCAAGACTTCCTCCAATTTGAAGTGTTTACAACTCCCTCGCTTGAATCAAAGGTTTATTTTTACCTCTGGTCTTTCGATTATTATCATTATTACAACGAAACTGTCATGAAGACGAACAGGAATTACCACGGAAAAAGTTGCCTGTAACCAATTTAGGCAGCACGGGTGACAGCTGCGTGTATTGCGTCTGCAAGGTGTGGGACCGTCCTCGAGCTCAGACCCGCCATGCTAATCCTCCTGCAATTCGTAGATGGATATAATTAGAACATTGAAGACACCATTTGCTTTTCTGTCATGGGACGACACACTCAGAGTGCCGGCAAATTACATAAAATCACAAAATGAAGAAACAATACCCAAAAGATAAGGTCTGAACATGCTAAATGGCATTTAACAATATTTGAATACATCATTAATTGCATCTCAAGTCGAGATGAAATTTTACAAAGAGGACCTCCCTTTGAGAAGAAAGAAATTGGCACTGCACTTTGGATGCAATATAGTATTAGAATTTCTCCAGAAATTATAGATGGTGACTGGTTCCATCTGTTTTTCAAGTAATTGTTCTCCTAAAAATATTTTTATCACTTTTTGGTATTTGGTTATCCTTTAAAATTAGTAAAATATTTTCCAAATAATATTTTTTTTATATATATATATATATATATATATATATATATATTTTATGATGAAAGGTGAAAAATGAATTGCGTCATTTTCTTGCCAGCCACCCAAAGTGCAATCCATGAATCAGTCTCTCCCCAACCACCTCCAACCCACACACCACGTGCGCACACAATCATCTCCAGATCAATCTCCCCCCACACCCACACCCACACCCACACCCACACCCATGCTCACCCCCAATCTGCCAAATTACTCCCACACCCACACCCATGCTCACCCCCAAACTGCCAAATTACTACCAAATCAGTCGCAGCCACCCAAACATGGCCCCCAGTTAGTGATCCCGGCTTAGCGAATCCTTTCTTCCGTGATGAACTGTTGGCACCAGTCCTACCTCCCTTATCAACCCTCCCCTATCCCGCAAATTGACCAAAAAGGAAAAAAGAAAAAAGAGGAAAAACATCCTGCATAAACAATTAAACTTCAGATTACATTACAAAGCATCCTTCATCCCCACACATGCTGAGAAACCATAAACACCTGAAGAAGTTATCCAAATATAACAACTCCACTTGAACACCCCGGCCAATCTCAAGGAAAGAAAAAGAAAAAAGACTGGACGTCCTATAGAAACAATTATGTTTTGACTAAATTCGATTCAAAAACATCTCCATCTCCATCTCCTTGCGCACTGAAAAACCATAATTCCTTGAAGAAGGCATCCAGACACTTCCAATTCCCAATTCTGCGTAGTTCTATGGCAGAACCACCTTCTTCAACCTTGACATAATCCGATATTGGTGATTTTCTATCCAAGGCAATCCAAATAATGTCCAGGAAGCAATTTCCAGAGGGACCCCACCACAACAAATGCCATGCCAAAATCTCACCCTTCTACCATCGACTAATAAAAAACCAACAAATATGTAGAATGCCCTCTACTCTTCCCGGTCCCCTTCCAAAATCCAGCCCCATAAGTACAAGAAACGTCCCTTGAGAAAGTGAACACATGCCTCTCATCATTTTTCTGACATTCTAGAGCAAACAAAGTTCCCCCCTCCTTTCTTCTCCCACAGGGATATGGGCATATGTTGGTAATATTCAAGCTCATAGGAAGACTAAAACCTAAGTCAGGAAAAACCAAGATTTTACCAACCAACCAATTTGCATCATCCGAACTCATTGGAGCCTCTAATGACATTCGTATACGATATTTATGATTGTCGTGTTAGACTCTAGATGACATGGCACACATGGCCAACCAACATTTGGGCTTTGCACACTTAATAATAGAAAATTCCACTTTTGTATGTTGTTTTAAGGCTGGATACAAAAATAATTTTTCCTTCTATTTCCCCTCTTCTACTGAAATACGCGGACATAAATATTGTTATATTGCTAATCTTGGGCATGGTAGAAGCAAGTGCACATGATAATTACTGCATATGATACATATTGGACTTATTTTACGTAATTAAGTCATGTAATGGATCTTCTTACCCATCAGATGTCATGTAGATGTGGTACTCTTTAGTCATGAAGGCAACTTGCTGTGAGTTCAATCCTGTGAAAGTAAACATTCCAATCTGCTTGATAATGTGACTCCAGTCGCCAGGTGTACCTGCCAGGAAAAAAAGAGAACATAGAAAAAAACATAAAAATTTACTCTGACCCAAGATATGTCATTTATCCTTCTTGATATCAATCAAATGCAAACATTCATTCAGGTCACTTTTGAGCAGAGTGATGAATGTCTAGTTGAGAATGCTGGGTAAATCGAACAAATTGGTCAGGAATCAGGATAGAGACCCAGATTACAGTGGTTTTTCCTATCAAATTGAGTCAAGATAATAATAAATCCAGGCTCTATCAGTCAGCATGGAAGTACAATATTGCGGTTGACAAAGTTTCATGTTCAAAGATGAAGAACACATTATTACATTTCATTAGCATTCAATTATCATTTTCCCTCCAGTCCCTGATGTGTAAAAGTTCATCAAATACTAATCTAAGACAAAAATCAAGACTCAAATAACAAATCCATAAATCATTTTGCCCTATGCTAAATAAACTAACAAAACCACACAAGAGGGAGCTGGAGCTGAATATAAGTGTGTGAATGTACAAGCATGCATGTGCAAGAGACACTTATGGATACTCAAAGATCAATCGACAATGTCAGTGAAGGACTGGTAATTCAACCCGAAAGATGAAAAAACAAAAGTGGACAAAATATGAGGGGACACTGCCATTCTTGTACAAGGTAACTTTTCAAATATATTACCTCTAGCACGAAGGGCATCAAAAAGTTTCTGCCGCATGCTGATAATACGATCAGCCATTGCCTTCAACTCAATAGTCCATTCATTATACATATTCCTGTAGAGTAAATTTCACCAACTTAAAAAACAAATTTAGAAGTATGAACTCGACAAACAGAAGAAATAATGCAAAATATGAAATGAGATGTCTACTATGCAAGTCCAGTGTGGATTTTAAGAGAAAGTGGAAAGCATTATATCAGTGTATTTTCTTCCCATTATACACATTTGAGAATCCACTCTAGATAATGTTCACTCTTGATTGGTTCATTCTACGATATGTATGTATTCTTAGATTGGAAAAATAAAAAAATAAAAAAAATAAAAGACATGGACTCATAAAAACTCCAAATCTTTTGGAATACTTCAATACCTGTCCTTGAGGATGGTAGCCACAATAGATGGACCATGAATTGGTGGATTAGAATACATGGGCCTGATCACAAGTTTCAACTGGCTCTCAACCCTGCTAGCAACATCAGCTGTCTTGCAAACCTATCAGCAAATTGAGTAAAATTTGAATGTAAGATGACCAGCAAAGAATGGAAGAACAATGATACTGCGCTACAAATCACACATCCAAGGGGGTCACCATAGACCACCCTTTCAAGCTATAAAATATACCTCCTAAACTTTGCAATCTCGCCCATGAAATTGGTAATTTTTAATTTTTAATTTTTTTGTTCCTGAGACCACCTCAGACTAAAATATTGACAAATTTTAAACTAAATTCCTGTATTGCCACTGTATTATGTAACTGAAAATTGTTTGGTACTTTTAGAAGTTGCATTAAAAAAAAAAAAATGCAAATGTGGAAAAAACTAAAAGCCAGCCAACAAAAATTTGCTAAGGAAAACTACTGATTTGATGGCTCAATAATTAACAGTTCAAATAAACTTACCAAAATCCATTGCTTGCTGTTGTGAGCTCCTTTTTCATTTAGAGAACTTATAAATCGATAGTAGATATTGCCAAGGGATGAACCGAAAAACTTTTCAATTTATTGGAAATTCTAAAGTCCTTTAAAATTTATGATAAAAGAAGTCATTCCCACATTTTTATATAAAAAAAGAAGGCACAAACACAACCCAGTCACATTGATATTCTTCAAGAATGTTTCACTCAATAAGGAAAAAGGTTTTAAGTCTTCTTTTCATATATATTGGTTTTCTTTTTCTTTTTATATTTTATTTTATGTTCAGGTAAGGTTAACAAAGTCTGTGCATGACAATATGAAAATAAAAGAAAAAGAAAGAGGGATATGTGAACAACAACAAACAAGTGGGGTGAGGGGGTTATTTTACAGATGTCCCTTATAAATATATACTAGTAGACATCAGGACTTTAACGGTCAACACAGGATCAAGATTTATATGAAATGAGTGAATATTCATCCTGGTTAGAAAAGAAACACAATGCACTCCAAAATTATGGGCATAATTTTGTGAGAACTTCAACACAGTGGACATTCAGTTCTTAAAAACAGATCTTGAGTGTCTTACTATGCTTAAGGCACCAACACGTTCACCATAAAGCCCCATATTCTTTGCATAGCTCTGAGCTGCTAGAGCTTCACCGCCATCAGCGACAAACATGCGAACGGACTGCGCATCAGCATCCAGATTTCCACTTGCAAAACCCTTCAAATGCCAAATATACATCAGCTTAAACTCTTGAAGATGCTCAACAAAGGATATAGTATTTTTAAGATTCAAATTAGGATCCTAGTGGATTGAGGAATCCAAACTAGTTGAATGCACAGTTACCCACCTGATATGCACTATCAAAGAAAGGTAACAGCCCTTTCGATCTCATCAACTGCCTAATCTGCTCCCACTGCTGAAGGGTGGGATCAACACCAGTGGGGTTATGGGCACATGCATGAAGAAGCACTATTGCTCCTGATGAAGCAGAACCAAGGTCTTCCAACAAGCCTATAATCCATAGGAAAAAATATCATGAAATAAACAAGAACTGCACAAACGCAAACGGATATACATATACATGAGCGCGTGTGCATGCATACACAATGCAACATACCATGGTGGGGAAACTTACACATGCAGATACTAAATAGTACAAAATTTGATACATTGTTGTAAACTATTAGATAAAAACAAGGTATCAGGGTAATCAAAGATATATAAAGTTAGTAGGAAGATGAAAACCATTTTTTTTTCCTTATTCTGATATGAAGTAATGTATAGAATTTCATATAGATAAGTCAAATAAATGGATGTGCAACTCGCAAGGTAATTCCAGGAAGGTCAGCATCTCATCCATAAGGGATGATACCAAACCTTGGAAGTTGAGTCCACGAGTTGCTGGATCATAATAGCGGTAGGTCTTCACAGATAATCCTGCCAGATTGAAAATTTTTGGATGGTTTCCCCATGTTGGCTGAGGAATGTATATCGTGTGCTGCAGGTACAAGTCCAAGCGAGTCACATAATAATATATTATGGCAAAGAAAGAATAAAAAAAACCAAAAATAAAATCATAGAAAAAAGAAGAAGAAGAAAGCAGTGATCAGTTTACTTCGTGATAGTGTTTTGCCAAAAACTCAGCTCCAACTCTCAGTGAACCAGTACCAGACAAGCACTGAACAGTTGTAATTCTGTTCTCTTGAATAGCGGGGCTGTGCGAACAAGCAGAGATAAAATGCAGATAGGGCAAGACAAGTTAGAAAATTCCATGTCATGTCTTTCATTTACCAACAAATTTTAAGTTATTGTTTTACCCCTCCTAGGTTCCTACCAAATAAAACATTGAATTAATGCTCTAAAATGAGTGAAACTTATGCTCCAGGAAGGACCTAACACTAGATGCTGGCACTTCACTATTTGTCATAAACCTCAGACCGTGATGCTTTCTTTTTGAAAAATCACAAAAACAAAATTGTCCATTTTTTTCTCCATAACACACACACACACACACACACACACACAAATAAACAAACAATAAAAAAAGGAAAAGAAGAACAATATTATAAAAAAAGAAAACAAAAATAAAAAAAGAGAGCAAATAAAGAGTCCTGAAGCAGAACTGAAAATCCAAATCATATGTCTGAACTTTATTTATTTATTTATTTATTTTTGATAAGTATGTCTGAACTTTATTTGAAAATAAAATGTCAAAATAATTTTAAGTTTATTGTAAAGTTGATAACAAATTAATTTCATATTTAAAATTGAGATAGTAAGCAGAATTCTTCTGAGGCTCTACTTTACCTTATAAATTTTCTAGTGCATCTTAAAATCACATCCTGTAATTTATAATTCGTTTATCTGCAACGACTCCTTGCCCAAGAAAACACTTTAAATCAAATTCCTAAAGATTTATAATAACAACTATTTTTCTCTAATGTCTTTCAGCATACCTGTTAATTGTTGTATATACATATTTGATATTTCTTCTGAGGCTCTATTTTTCTAGTGCATGCAGCACATACATATTTATCACCAATATGAAGCTTTTTTCCAGCCTTGGTAAGTTTTAGAAGTTCTAAATATTGGCCTACCATAGTATTTTACATCCTTTGGAAAACAATAGAATGATTGAATTAGGAGTGTGCAATCAAGATCTTTTGTTCTCTTTGCAGACCAACTTCATTGTTATGGAACATTATGGCAGAAGATGTCAGCAGGATATGCCAAAGGATGAAGAAAACAATTTTGAGAAGGGATTCCATTTCCATTTAAAAAGGAGGAACAAGAACTTCTGAGGAAAATTATAACTGAAATATCCTTTATAATTTTAAAAAGCAAGAACAAGAACATGATAACATTTGTCATAAGATGCGAAAAAGAAGAACATGAGAGCATTTCTCATAAGATGCACTTCCTCACTTTGGTTAACAAATCTATTGATTTCCAGCCATCATAGCCACCTTTAGCGGGTCTGAATCATATATACTAATAATTGAACAAGTAAATTTCACCTAAAACAATTCACCTCACATTAATCAGCCTTATCATGCACTTACCTCACGCTGGTTGATGGAAATATCTATTTCCAGCTATCACAGTCTTTGGTGGGTTTGACCCATACAAATTGTGTATTTTTATCATATTTTTCATTTGAATATGTAAATTTTTACCAAATATAATTCAACTATCACTGTAAGACTGTACAGTTCTTAAAAAACATACAAGTACAAATAATCAATATATTATAGTACATGACTCCCAATGCCAACAGATGATCATATGACGTTTTAAACAGTTACGTGCAATCTACAGTTCTATATTAAGTGCTTCGACTTTGTACCTGTCAGCACCAAATATAAGCTTTGCACTCAATTTATTGAAATCTGCGAGCCCGACAATCGGAAGATACTCCTTTATACGAGAGCTGTAAATCAAACATATTGAATCTTAATTACAATTACCCATAAAAAAGTTATGACTGCAGTCACGAGAATAAGACGAATTACCTGTCATTAACAAGTAGTTGCTCAGCTCGTCTCACGACATTCAGAACAAGAGGTTTTCCTTCCTGTTATGGCATAGATAAAGCCAGCCCCCCACCCAAAAAGATAAAATAAAACAAAATTAGAGGTGATGATTAAATGGTGTGCGCAAGCATGCAGGCTCCAGTTCAGCTTCTTCAAAATTGTATTTAGCACAATCATAAAGAGCATCGACATTGTACATCACAATGTGTCGTATAACTGTATGGAGATTACTGAATTGGGAATGACAGCATCACCGAGTCACCGTGATACAGTTGAGTGTAGTATGATATGTGACTAATGTGAGAAGCTAGTGGTTGGAACAATTATGGAGGATCCAGACACTGCCAGGTCAGGATGGACACAGTCTCTGCCTCTGAGTATTGGCACATCAAATCTTTTTAAATGTGAACTCATATGAAAATTTGCAGTTTTGCCTCTAACCACTCAAGCATTTCCATAATTTAAAAAGGAATCTCACCTCCGTACGATAAGCACCAACCCCCAAATTCAACTTTACTGGACTAGGATCTTTGTTATATGCAACAGTGACCTGTTTATTGGAGATAAGATCAGAAAGCTGTCAAGAATACTGAACAAAAATTCTGTCAAGTTTTAAAGACAAATCTATACATGGCAAAGAGAATGAAGAGCTAGACAGAGCAAGCAAAAAGATTTAACCTACACCAACTCACCTATCCTAAGGATTTTAAAGTATGCATGGTATGAATCAATGCAAGATATGAGTTGTCCAAGCAGCCTTTCAATCCCATTCATAGAAAAAGTAATCCCCTAAATAGATGCTCATGTGACCAAAATGTAGTTGGGAAAAGACATGGTGAGAGTGTGTGGGAATCAAAACAAACCAAGATAAATTTGCCAAGAAATAAAATAAAGGGTCAGAGAGAAAGTTAGGGTTTGAGAAATAGTTGTTCTCCTCTATATAATTTCTTTAAAAAAAAAATTAAAAAAAAAAAAAATTGACATTTGAAATTTTCCTACATCCCCTATATCATTTGTCTTTCAATTGTCTTTGATGTTCTTTTTCATTATGGGTTACCACTATTATCCTTGAAAACGATATTGGAAGATAGCATTAAGCAAAAGGTTCAAAACAAAAATGGAAGAATTATATTGTGGTGACCTAGATCAAATAAAATTCACTGTAATTAACAATGATTTTAAAGTTGGAAAAATATTATATGTATCAAATCTAAAGGTTAATTATAGAACAGTGAGCATTTGAGATTCTTTTACTTCATCATTTTTCTTTCCTGTATAAATTAAGCTGTCTCTCTACCTTGCGAGTAGGAGAAGATGGATTAAGTGTAAATATTATACCTAATAATACCAACAAAGGAAGAAAAAAAAACCAGTTGAGGTTCATGAATTCATGGCAGAGCCCACCTTGAGACCTTAGATTGAATATACCAGTGGATTGCCAAATGAATAAGTTTGTAATCCAACCGAATGACAAAATTTGAAAATACATGGGCGCTTTTTTCTTAAGGGGGTAATTAGCTTTTTTTGGTAATTAGCTTTTATTTTTACAATAGCTGGTAGTGACATTCATTTTGGAAACTAAAAGGAGAGAGAGGGTGGTGTTGCAATACTTGGAAAGTAGAATAGTGGGTTTGGAATGTAACTATTAGATTAATCTAACGGTTACAATAGAAAGTGTGGATAAATTCTCTTACTCACCGTTTAGCAAGAGATCACTACTCTATATATTTTGTTCTCCAAACACTCCCAATCTGCAAACCTCAAACGAAACGAAAGTTTTGCAGACTCAGAAATTCGAGACTAAAAATTACAGTAACAAATTAAACCTCTAAAACAACAATTTGATCCACAAACGTCACATAAAACCAGAATTGGAGAAAATTTGAGCAAAGCAAACATAGAGAGATGAAGTAAGAGAGAGCAGAAGAAGATTCCAGGTTCAAAAACTGAATCAACACAACTACAGTAACACATTTCAGACAAAAAGGTAGGAGAGAATTAGAAAAATTAAAAATATAAAGACTCAAAATTACAGTAACGACTTTAATCCCAACTAAAACGCGAAGAGAAAAGAAGCTTGAATTAAAATCTGATCAGCGTATATATACACATGTATACACATATATATAGAGAGAGGACGTTCAAAACTGAATCAAGACCACTGCATCAACAATTTGATCCATTGATCCATAAACATTCCATCAAAACAGAATTCGAGCAAGTATGAGCAACGGAAACGCATATACATATACATATATATACACACACATTTTCATATATTTAACATAAAGAACCAAAAAAATACTTGAACTACTTTAACCAGCACAAACAAGAGTATATATGCATATGTGCATATATGTATATAATAGATATATATAGAACGTTCAAAATTGAATCATCGACGATTTGATTCATAAACGTCACATAAATGCCTGGTAACATAATTGATAAAAGGTAGAGAGAGAGAGTTTAGAGAGATACGCCGAGGATGGGATCTTCAGGAGCCCGAGAAACATGGCCGAAGACAGAATTGTGAGCCGAAGTCGCTGAAGCCGAGATCGTAGTCTGGGAGTCCATGACCGACGGCGACGAGCCTTCCAGGTGTCTGACCAGAGCACTTAACCTCCGATCGGTGGGTGACGTTAACTGAGGGTGCATTTTAGCCTTTTTGTATCCTTCCCGCGACTAGACTACGCTTTCCTCTTTCTCTCACCGTTCGACTTTTCGCGTATTTGACCGTGACGGTCTTCCTACCATTAAAAAGATGGGAAAAGATGACGCGGCGAGTGATGGAAAGGTCGTTTATGGTGACGTGGAGATGTGGGGTCCACTGCAACTGCTGTTGTTTGACAACGTAATAGGCAATAGCGATAAGCTTGCCAGATGATGCTAACTTGCTACGGTGCTAACTGCTAAGGTACGCTGGGTTGCGTGGCTCGTAAAATAAGGCGGTTGGGCACGTGGTCCGAGACGGAGAAATTTTTAGTGACACGTGGCAAAGAAAAAGGCCCATTCTCAAATGTTATTCGGGTTCGGGTTTTAGTCCAACTAGTGGGATAGAATTCTAGTCATTGTTCTGTTTGGTATTTGTTATCTTAGCGAGCAGCGAGACATATTCCAACGCAAACAAAAATGAAATCTTATCTTGGCTAAATAGAATGGATAATTTTATTTGAATTTATTAATTCGATATACTTTCCACATTTATAAGAATGCACCCGCTTTATAAGTAGTAATACTACCTCCGTTTAAAAAAAATAAAAAAAATAAAAAAAAAAAAATTGTTCACCTATTGTTTTTGAACCGTCACAAAATAATCATCTACTATCATTTTTTAAATAATATATTTACATCTTTCCGTATATATATTTAGAATTTAAATTTTTAAACTTGGATATTCAAAAGAGTAATGATAGGGGAATCGAAAAAAAATTACTGAATTAGTATCGAATTTGACGTGGTTGGTCATTCTTATCACATGTTAAATAATTATTTTTAGAAACTGTTTAAGTAAATGAGGTAGACAATCATGTTTCTTAAAAAATTTTACTCCTCAAAAGAGATATATATATATATTTATATATATATATGAGTCATGATCTCTTACTCCCGATTGAACAAGAAAATTAATCCATACTTTCTATATAGACCGTTATATTAAATGGCCATTTTTCAAACACACCTATGACCTTTTCTTTTAAGACAAAACCACTCTCACCTTATCATTACATCATCATCATTCAATAATCATTACTATCTACTGTAATAATAAAAAGTAATTATCAAAATAAAAATAGAAACCTTTGAGTGGGAGGTTTATATTCGGTGGTCAGGATATCTCTCCATTTCTTCGTGCGTGGCTGAATGGAATCTATAGACAAAAGTGTGGACAGATGATTACTCTCCATGGATAAGGTTATGAGAAGAGTTTCACCCATTTTATTTGGGTTACCTCGTTGTTTTTGAGGTGGATTCTACCGTCCCACCATAGTCAGTACATTATTATCATTCAATAATCAAACTCACAAATTCATAGATTCAATAATGAATTCCACCAAATGCCCAACTTCAAATTGAAATAGAAAGAACTTTTGTTCAAATTTTAAATGAAATTTTCTTCAATTTCAATTCCAACGATTCTAATGAATCAATTCGATATTCCAAAATATAACATTACAGTATATTTGTCGATAAATTTACTTATACTAGAGAAGTATGTTAATTTACTTATAGTGAGAACAACAAGATGTTTCTTAGGAAAATACTATAATATCTACGGTTGTTGCAAAATTAAAAGATACATGTATTGTTTTTCTTTAAAAGAAATATCTAAATAAAAACAAATTTTTAGTAAAATATACTGGTATTAGTTTATTTTTCAAATGTTTCTATTTTTATTTTGATAATTACCTTTTATAGTTACAGTAGGTGGTAATGATAAAATCAAATATAGAAACTAAAAATAAGGTGAGAGTAGTTTTATATTAAAAGAAAAGGCTGTTTGAAAAATGACCGTTAGATTTAATCTAACGGTCTATATGAAATGTGTGGATTAATTTTCTTACTTCACGGGGAGTAAGAGATGAGGACTCTCTATATATATATATATATATTTGGATAAAGGGAGTATGATATTTTTTTGATCATTTTTAATTATAACAATGGTTTTTCTTTTTCTTAATAAAATGAAAGAGATTTTGATTTCAAGAGTCTCAAACCTAGGTCGTGACGGTTTAGAGGTTTAATTATTCAACACCCGTAAAAAACAGTATGTGATACTGTGGAGGGAAAAATCCCCCTCCAATAAAAGCCAGCCATGTAGCCACAATAGAAGTTTCATTTTTAATTTCTTGGTGGGTTACGAAAGCCCAGCCCTGTTTAAGCCCAGATAAAATCATTAACGCCCAAGATCGCCAATATTGAACCTCCAGCTCGTTAATAAAGTCAGTTGGACTAAGTTGCATTCGGCCCAGGTTCATTTAAATACAGAACCAGTCATACCAAATAAAGGATGCTTCATATAAGGAAGTTCTACAAAAGAAGAAATCTGGCATGGAAAGAAGTATAGAAGGAAACAACATTATAAGAAAGAACATGGTATATGGAATGTACTAGAGGGCAAGCAAGGCGAGTCCTACTAGAATTCTACCATCTTTTTGTATATAAGTAGAGGCCTAGACCTCCAATAAAGATCATCGAGCAATATACGTTTTTCTCTGAATAATTATTGCTGTTTATTATCTTTCTTTGAGTGAGTTGTATTTTTTTCTTTTAACTATTTTAGTTAATTGAAATTTTGCACCTACATATACATAATGGTTCTTTTTTTTCCCCTTTTTTTTTTTTTTTTCTTCTTTATATATATATATGTAAAAATCATTTTAAAATTCAGCATAAAAACGTATCATATAAGTACCTATATATATATATATATATATATATATATATATATATATATATATATATACATATACGATTATGTTGCAGGATCTTTAAGAGGATTTGGATCTTCTAAATTATCTTAAGTTGAATTCGTTAAAACGTGACATTTAAAATCTATCTACGATAGTGTTAAACCACGTCAACTAATTTAAACAAAGTTTGAAAATTACACCGTTTTAAAATAGAGAAATGATATATCTTCCGAACAAATCTGCCGACATATCCTTCGAATCCTAGGTGGCTATGCCATGTCAGATACAAAAAAACACAGCTCTTTCTCTCTCCACGATTCCCCTCAAGCTCTCATCTCAAGCTTGGCGGGCTGGTTCGACAGTCGGCGAGCCAAAGGACTCTCGACAGTGAACTGTGGCGGAGAGAAAGAAATGCAGCGGTGGCTCGGAATGGCGGTAGAACTGAATCGCCGTGGATGATTCGCGGTGGCTGCAGCTGTGGCAGTGCCTGGCCAGACGGATCCGACTTTGGCAACGGCGGCTTGTTCACGCCGAGGTGGAGATGGGTTGGCTATGATGGCGGTGGGCTGGTTGCGGCTTCAGCTGTTAGCTTGCGGATGATGGCGGTTGGATGATTGAGAAGAAAAAACATGGGTGAAAATTATTATTATAACAACACGGCGCAAGTTAGAAAATCTGATACCTATTCGTCCACGGCGAGGGTTATATTGTCACCTTTCTGTGAAACTACAAGTTTCTTAGATTTGTCGTTGCACTCGAATGCTTTTCTCTCTCTTCGAACGATCTGTACACACCCAAATCGATGATTGGTTCAACAGAATAAAGATATATCAATCAAACAAAAATTTCAGTAAATTTCTCTCTCAAACTTTAATGGAGGCAGCGGATGATGGTGGAGACTCTTATCTCTCTTTGATCATATACATTATTTGTTTGTTTGTGTTAATTTCAAAGGAGAGGTTTTTGCGGCCGTGGTGAAGGCTAAACTGGGCAAGAGTGGCCGGAAAAGTGGAGGGAATCGGAGCAGCGAAACATTAGTGAGGAATGTTGAATCGGCGCTTGAAGTTGTTCTGGAACTTTAATTTCCAATGAGAGATGAAATTCTTGGTTGGAAGATGATTGGAATTTGATATTTACGATATCTAATCCTTCTCTTTCTCATACTCAATCTCCCTGTACCGGTGGAGAAAACAAGCTATGGTAGAAACAGAGGGGGAGAGGGGGAATCGTGGAGAGGGAATGAAAAGAGAGAGAACAGTGTTTTTTGTTGCTGACTTGGCCTGGCCACCTAGAATTCAGAGGATAAATTGGCAGATTAGTTCGGAAAATGTATCATCTCTCTTTAAAATAAGAAAAATTCACCATACTTTAACGACGTTAAAGTTTTCTCTCTCCCTCATCTTTTCCAAACAAAGATCGCTCCCTTTCTCTCCTCTTGCTCATACCCAAAATATGTCACGCTAAAATAAATGTATTTTCCCACTATTTTTTGCGCCGAGAATCTCTGTTAACTCCCTTTTTTCTTAAATCTAAATTGCAAAATTTTCTCTTTTTTCACTCTTTGTTTTTTTTGAAATCTAAATTGCAAAATTCCTTTCTTTTTTGAAATGTAAACTGCAAAATCCATTAAAAATGCTTAAATATTCCCCCAAACGTAGAAGCTCTGGTTCACTCTCTTGTTCTGAAATCTATATTGCAAAATTTCTCTCTTTTTTCACTCTTTTTTTCTGAAATCTAAATTGCAAAATTTCTCTCTTTTTTAAAATTTAACCTGCAAAATCCATTACAGAGGCTTAAATATTCCCCCAATCGTGGGAATGAACAAGAAGGGAGAGGGAGTGATATTGTTTTAGAAAAGATGAGAGGAGAGAATGACATTAACGTCGTTAAAGTATGGTGAATTTTTCATATTTCAAAAAGGTGCAGTTTTCAAGCTTTGGTAAGTTTTTCTTTTCTCAAAACAGTGCAGTTTTGGAACTTTCTTTAAATTAGTTGACGTGGTTTACTACAAGTAGATAAATTTTAAATGTCACGTGTCAATCCCTAATATAGTAAGCCGCCCTTCTATGATTTGATTTTCTATAATTATGTAAGATAATTATGATTAGTATAGAATCATGTGATTAAGTTCGTTCCAAATAGAAAACAAACATTATGTGAATTCAAGAGATGAATCGAGTTATCATACTCAAGAGTTAATAAAGTTAATTCAATTAAACTCCTTGATGCAAAATTTCAAAATTTTTCATGATGTGGAACCAATGCTTTTCCTGCAGAGAAAGAGAGATGATGAACGAGATTGTCACCGACATAATGTCAGCCAAG